GGAAGTGCGAAGAGTCTATTGCTGCCGTGCAATGGCTGAGTCGCTCGGTTCTAACAGTGCTCACGCTCTCCCAGCGATTGATCGTGCTTGAGGATAAGAGCATGCGCATGACAGAGGCGTTTGATCTCCTCCACAAACATGTTTATCACGTGGATCTTTTCTCTAATCAACTACACGCCCTCGTGGAACAACTAGATGAGGAAGACGAATCTATGCACGGCGTTGTCGGGGATGCTTTTTACATGAGTTTCAAGGCCTACAAGGGGAGGATATTCCTTCTTGGCTTCAACGAGGTGTCGATCGGAGCTTTGTCCAACTGGGCGGATCGGCTGATTGCTATAATGGAGAATGGGGATTACATTGGAGCTATCCAGCTTGCCACATCCTACTACACAGGAGATGCAAACAAGCTTACTATTGGGCTGCCTGAAGACCAAACGTTACGACACAGCATGGTGCGGGATAAGATTATGGAAATTATCAGCGCATCTCTTAAGTATGCTTTCAGCCAGCGGAAGAAGAATTCCGACGATACAGACGACACGCATCTCAGGAGACTGGCAGAGATTTGCTTCATCGCATGCCAGAGCATTGAGAACACAGACTTCTTATTTGATGAGATGTATGAGTGGTATGAGGATGCGGAGTTAGAGGGCATTTTCCTCGAGACCCTCGAGCCGTACATCCTCGAGAGGACCATCGTTGTGGTACCACCTTCGGTTATCAAAGACATGGTTACTTACTACGTCAGCCGGGGCTGGGAGACTCGACTCGAGGAGATGATCTGCCACGTGGATACGAGCACTCTAGACCTGGATCAGACAACCCTCTTGTGCAAGCAGCATGGGCTGTACGACGCTCTGACGTATATTTGGAACCAAGCCCTTGGAGATTACATCACTCCAATGATAGACCTACTCAGTCTCATTATTCCAGTCACCTCGAACGGTCATGCCACCAACGGCATTGACGAAGACTATCACGGAGTCAATGCTGTGAAAATTTTCCCTTACCTTTCTTACACTTTAACTGGGAGAGTGTATCCGAACGAGGAGCTGATGGACGAAAAGATAGCCACGAAGGCCAAGGCCGAGATTTACTGGTTCTTGTTTTCTGGCCAAACCATTACATGGCCCAAGGAGGGTGGGCGAGAGCTCCGAGTAAGACCCAACGAGGACTCGCAGCCGGCCTTCCCTTACCTGCGGCTGATCCTCGAGTATGACGCTCCCAGCTTTCTGAGCGCCCTGAATGAAGCTTTTGAAGACCCGTTTCTCAACGACTCGCCGGACAAGCAGACTAATGGAACTTCTAATATTGATCTGCCCGAGGAGCAAATATTCGGGCAAACGATCAATCGTCAGTATGTTGTGTCGATTCTCCTCGACGTGCTCAGCCCGGGCAACTTCTCGACCGCGGACACAATATATTTGGATATGTTTATTGCTCGAAATCTACCGAAGTTCCCGCAGTATCTGCTTTTCTCTGGGACGACACTGTCGAACGTGCTGAAAGGGCTGTGCAATTATCCTGGGGAAGATCTGGCCGAAGATGCCCAACTTAGCGCAGAATATCTTTTATCTGTTTATCACCCTTCAGACATGCCAGCTATGATACCCCTCTTTAAGCAAGCCGGATTTTATAGAATTTTGAAGAGGATTTACAAACTTGACAAACAGTACGGGTTGCTGGTGGCTACGTACTTTGAGGACCCGGAAGACCAAGATACCGTCTTCGATTGTATCGCGGATTGCCTGCGTCCACATAGCGGTTTGAGTGAGCGGCAACTCCAGGAGGTTCTTGATGTCGTGAAGAAACACTCACGGGAACTCCTGGAGATTAGTGCCGAAAAGTCAGCACGAACACTGGCTTCCCAAGCCAAGGAGGTCCATCAAACTGTATTAGATTCCGCTACAGACGATGAGGTGCTACAGTACGAATACTTGAGGGAGTTGTTAGAGCCTCAAGGTTCATCTGGAGAGCACGAACACATAGATCGAGATTTGGTTGAGCGTTATGTCCAGTTGATGTGCACCTTCGACTCGGGCCGGGTCTCAGACTACGTCGGGGTTGTTCAATCTGCCAACCTCCGACTCGACAAGCTCTTGCCTACCATGGAGGAAACAGGCGTCATTGATGCGGCAGTTGTCCTCATGGCGCAAGATGGCCAGGTAAAGCAGGCCCTGGAACGGCTTGTCAAGCACCTGAATAATCTCGAGTCGGCTCTTCGAGGCCTGCTTTCGGGATCGGCACCAGCGGACTCGGAGTTGGATCTCCAGACTAATGCTGAGGACCTTTTACTTGGTCTCCAAAAATACGTATATGTGGGCATCTGGCTGTGCCAGGGGCAGATGAAATCCTCTAAGAGGGGCAGAATCAACGTGGTCAACAAGAAGTCTACGCCGTCTGGACAGGATCTGTCCTCTGATGAACGGCTCTGGCTCGATCTCATCGACGCCACTGTTCAGATCACCAGGCGTCTATCGCCAGTCATTGCTGCAGCACCCAAGGAGCTGGATAATGAGAAACTGCTGGCCCTGCTCCGCTCTCTCGTGCAGCACACCTTCACAGCGCTGCTGACCGCAACCTCCAATCACGCGGGCGCTCAGAGCGGAACGAGGCTTATATCGAACGCCGGATCCAATCTCTCGTTTTTGCGCATCTTGCGTGCTTTCCTCACAGAAGCCGCGGCCTCATCCCCTAATTTAGCCGACCTCAGAGGCGTCCTCGCCTCAATATTCTCGGCATATGCCTATGAAGAGTCGATCCTGCGGCTTTCGAACCGTCTCCTAGAGAGGAGCTTGTACATAAACGTCAACCAGGCCGTGGCTCTTCGACAGCGTGGCTGGCGGCCACGAGGCTCCACCTGCGAGGCCTGCAGCCGTAGGGTCTGGGGCCCCGGCGTACCCGGCGGAGCAGTGTTCGAAGCCTGGGAGGAAAAGCAGGCCATTTCGGATGCCGCGAGGAAGAGCAGGAAGATGCAGATCGCGGAGCAGGTCAAGGGCCGTTCTGCGGGCGACTCGAGCGGCAAGGGCAAGGGCAAGAGCCTGGAGGTTGGACCGCCGAACGTGGCGGACACCGAGGGCGAGGACGCCTCGGCGAGCAGGAAGGAACCCCAGCTGGGGCCGCTGGTCCTTTTGGCGTGCCGGCACATATATCACCAGAGCTGTTTAGATTCCCTGCAAGAGAAGCAAGATAAGCAAGGGAACGGGGCTACAGAGCGGGACAGGGAGTATAAGTGTCCCATCGATGGGTGAGGATCGGGTTTGTACAATTTTTTCCGTATATTACACTACATCAAAGAAAGCGGTACTGCGAACTTATATAAATATAATGCCTTGCCAGAGCGAAATATATATCTATCTTGGGAATGGCACGAGTTTCATCTACTTCTCTCGTCGCTCAGAATCGATATGTCTCTAGAAGTCTAGCTGTGTATGTATTCGCAATGCATGAAAGTATGTATATAAAGTAGTAGTGGCCATCTTTTTCAGAGTCTTCATTAGTCCCGAGACGAGATCGAGATGATTCGTATTCTTTCTCTATTGGTTTCTTCGTATTTGGAGGTTAGTTGTTGGAGACGAGGCGGAATGTCCACCAACTGGTTTAATTCGGGCATTGTCGCAGGCGCTGTAGCTCGGGCCTGCCACTACTCAACCAATGCCCCACGACTTCGTTCTGACCACATCCAACCACCAACATGCTTTCAAACGCCAAGCCGTAGTACTTCCACTGCGTGTCACAGTTACCATTCCATTGCACATATTCCATTCCATTCGTTCATTTCTAGGTGGTGCTCCTCGGGCGCCACCATCGTGCTGCCAGCATGTCGCACTCATCCGACGACCAAGATGACATGCTCTCCGACAACGAGTCTGGCTCATCCGGCGACGAGTCTCCCCCCCAGCCCATGTCCCAGAACTATTTCGCGCCGCCCTTCTACGGCCGCCCACCGACTCCTCTACCGCCATCGCCGTCCCTGACGTCCCTGCTGCGCCCGTCGCGCCCGACCACCCCCGATGCCTCCGACGACGACGCCATGGCCCCCGTGCCTCGCGCGGCGCCCAAGGTCCCGACCTACGAGTACTACGGCTTCGTGCTCTACCTCTTCAGCAGCCTGGCCTTCCTGATATACCTGCTCTGGAGCTACCTGCCCTCGCCGTTCCTCCACGCCTTCGGGATCAGGTACTACCCGAACCGGTGGTGGGCCCTCGCGATCCCGTCCTTCCTCGTCATGGCCATCGTCTACATCTACGTGGCCCTCTCGCTGTACAACATCGAGATCCTGACGGAACCCCTGAGCAGCGTGGAGACCATCGTCGACGGCGCGGGCAAGATGGCGCTCATCGACAATAAGGGCCGGCTGAGGGGCAGCGCGCGCAGGGAGAGGAAGTGCGAGAAGGATGGGAGGCTGAGGTGGCGGGAGATTTGGAACGAGAGCACTGACGCCGTCATGGACATTCCGCTGAGCGGGGTCTGCGAGGTGCTGTATGGGGAGGGAGCTGAGGATGCTAGGTCTGCGGACGATGGTGCTGAATGATGGGCGGCATGAAAATTAATAGTAATACTCGGTATTGATCGAGCTTGGTTTACGGTTTTGACTCTATATTATGGCTGCGTTGGCCACTGTCAAGGCTTATATCATAGAGAAGTGGTGGCTGCTCAGGGAGGTTGGCGACAGCAAGCCAATTGGCTGCTATTGCGGCTCAACCGAAACCAATCAGCCTCCTCTCAGATACATCCTCCATACATGAAGAAATGACATTTTATATCTACCTCTTTTGAGATGGCCTCAATCTAAATACGCCGTGGTTGGATCTTGTCCCTGGACCCCTCCAAAAACTCAAGCTAAACTGCTAAAGCAGCGGCCCCACCCGGACCCATCAAAATTTCTACATCCAGGAACATGCGAAAATCGATTTTCTTCAATGGTTCTACAACCTTGAATCTTTAACTTCTTCTCTCGTCACTGACCCAGCATTGCTGGAAATCTGACGCCCACCATGGATATTCTCAAAGTCTTGTCCCGCGGTACGAAAAAGGTCACAAACAACAAGCAGCTTGGAGCCAAGCCTGCAGCTCAGTTGCCATCCGCTGGAGCCAAGCCTCACCCTCAGCTCTTCCACGACGAGGTGCGCGGCCAGAAGAGGAAGCGAAAAGTCGGAGATGAGCCCGAGGAGAAGAACGAATCAGACCTCCCCGAAGTCGATTTTTTCGCGCCGAAGCCAGAGTCCGGGTCGAAGCCTGGCAACGAGAAGAAGCAAATGGCCGAGCAGACGCCGACGACCACTACGCCCGCTCAAGTCGCGAAACTCTTGACGGAAGACCAATGCCGGCAGCTGCTCAAGTCGCATCGATTGAAGATTACTCTTCTGTCAAAGGTGGAGGACCAGTCCAGGGTCAAGAAGTCCAAAAAGAAGAAGAAGAAGGTTGCCGTTGAGCCAAAGAAGGAGGACAAGAAGCAGCTGTTCCCGCAGGTCCTGGAGAGCTTTGGTGAGCTGCGGACGTCGTATGGCATCTCGAGGAGAGTCGCCGAGAATCTGTTGGTTCAAGGATACCGGGAGCCCACCGAGGTACAAATGGGTAGTTTGCCATTGCTGCTTCGCCCAGACCTGGCCCTGCCTGACGAGGGCGGCCTGGAGCACGGGGTGGACTTCCTGGCGGTGGCTCCTACGGGAAGTGGCAAGACGATCAGCTTCATGATCCCCGCCATCAACAACATCATGCGCCGGAGGTCGGAAGAAAAGTTGAACAGCATTCATGAGCTCGAGGCTATCATTATTGCTCCGACTCGGGAGCTCGCCTACCAGATCGTGAATGAAGGTCGCAAGATTCTGCAGGGCACTTCGCTCCGAATCGTGGCGATGAAGAAAGGCATGGCCGTTGCCGCTGATCAGCAGGAGATATCTGAGGACGGCTCTGATGAAAGCGGGAGCGAGCAGGAGCCAGACTCCGAGGAGGAGAGGAAGTACGAAAAGACTAAGCGTGGGACACCGACGAAAGCCGACATCTTGGTAACGACACCGCTCCTTCTTCTGAACTTCCTAAACTCGGGATCTTCCCAAGCTCAAAAGGTGTTGCCGACAGTGAGGGATCTTATTCTCGACGAGGCAGATGTGCTTCTCGACCCGCTATTCAGGGAGCAGACGCTGGGGCTCTGGACGGCATGCACAAGACCAGAGCTGCGTGTCTCATTCTGGTCAGCTACTATGGGATCGAATATCGAATCGCTGGTCACGGAAAGACTACAGCAACGTACGGAGTCACTGGGCACCAACCCGAAGCCATTCGTGCGATTGGTCGTCGGCTTGAAAGACACAGCCGTCCCCAACATCACCCACAAGCTCACATACACGGCAAGCGAACAAGGAAAACTCCTGGCTCTCCGTCAACTACTCCGCCCATCATCCAGAGACGAGTCTGGGCCACCCCTGAGACCTCCGTTCCTGGTCTTCACACAGACTATCGACCGAGCCACGGCGCTGCATGAGGAACTCAAATATGATATCCCGCTCGAGGCTGGCGGCTCTACTAGGATTGCTGCTCTTCACAGCGGACTGGCAGACTCGGCCAGGGCCACCATCATGCGCAAGTTCCGGGCGGGAGATATCTGGGTCCTGATCACCACAGATGTCCTCGCCCGAGGTGTTGACTTTGCCGGTGTGAATGGCGTCGTGAACTACGACGTCCCTGGCTCGAGCGCGGCGTACGTGCACCGTGTCGGCCGCACAGGTCGGGCTGGGCGCGAGGGAGGCGTGGCCGTGACCTTCTACACCAAAGAGGACATCCCCTTTGTGAAGATGGTCGCCAACGTTATCGCTGCGAGCGAGAAGCAGGCCGGGAAGACGGGGGATGACGCCGGGGTCCAGAAGTGGCTTCTGGATGCCCTGCCTAACGTGGCAAAGGCCGACAGGAAGAAGCTCAAGGAGCGTGGTGTCGAGGCTCGTCGGACTGGAGGTGGAACCCAGGCCAAGATCACCTCACGGAGTGGCTTCGAGCGCCGCAAGGAGAATAATAAACGTGGTGCTATTGCTGCAAGCAAGAAGAGAAGGGATGAGCCCAGCGATGATAGCGGTGATGAGGACGAATGGGGCGGTCTCGATGATTAGATAGCTCAAGATGAGCAATGCTTGTAAACGAAAGCCAGGTCCTATCTACCTGTCATTGAAACGGATACTTAGGAAAGCATGATATCATGAGCAAAAGTAATAGATATATTTGTTTCTACACCACTTCCCTTAGATCCCGCAATTGTCTGTTGCCAGGCTTATTGGGTGTGTGGAGTAGACCACGGGAGGTTTCCTAGTAACGATCCCCCCCCCCCACATATCCAAAATATCTCTAAGGTCTGTTCTACATGTTGTACAGTATAAATGTAGGGTGACTCATACAGGCAAGGTGTTGTTACAGCATTACATCCAGCGCATGGCATGTTTCTTCGTATCAATAAGTTCATTCCCCATTACTCCTCTGAGTCCTTCGGAGGATTTTTGTTTGTGGCGTCTTTGGCATCACCATTCGCCGGTGACGGCATCGCCGGCTTCTGAAAATCATCTCCGGCAGTAAGGCCCACGACATTTTTCAATGTGCCAAAGCTCAAGCAGTCGCTGATGCGAGAGGCTCCTGAAAAGACCATAACTAGTCGCTCAACGCCACAGCCCCAGCCCCCAGTCGGCGGGAGACCAAAATCGAGGGCCCTGGCAAAGCTTTCGTCGAGAGGTGCCGCCTCCAGGTCTTCCTCTTCCTCCTCCTCTTCTATAACCTCTTGGGGACCGGAGAGTTCTGCCTCGGAGTCCATTTCTTCAACTTCTCCTGTAGTGGGTTCTTCAATGACGATTTTCCCATTCCCAGCGTTGGCAAGCCTTCGGTGCATTGCCAACTTCTGTTTCTGTTCTTCAGGATTATTTTCCTCCTCGTACATATTAGCCAACTCACGGCCGCCGAAGAACAGCTCCGCGCGAGCAGATACTAATTGGTACGTCCTCGGGCAGAGGAAGCTCTTCGCGAGCGGAGACATGCATGCTGGATGATGAGTGATGAAGAGGGGTTTATCGAAGGACTGAGGCTCGAGGTACATCGCGGCAAGTCGATCGAGCAACTTGTCCAAGGTCGTCGGTGTCTCTCCTGCAACCTTGATACCTGCAAGTTTCAGGACTGCGATGAGTTCTGGGAGAGCGTCCTTTGACGAGAGCTTTGGAAGGCGAATCCCCATGGCAGCTTCAAGTCCAGGTACAAACTCGACCTGCTTGAAGGGCCGTACAAAGCGACTCAGATCAATCGGTTGTAGTGAAGTCAGTTCGGAAGAGATAAGTACTTGTGACCGCCGTGCAAGCCCGTGAATAATTTCTTCCGTCTCTTTGATCAAGTCACCCAAGTTCGTGTAGGCACTATAGAATTCACACATGGTGAATTCTGGGTTGTGTGTAGCGTCGATGCCCTCGTTGCGGAAAGAAGGTCCAATTTCAAAGACCTTATCAACACCTCCAATCACAAGACGCTTGAGCCAAAGCTCTGGCGCTATTCTCAGAGAGAGGTCCTTCTTTCCGAACCCAGTTGCATGCGTTACGAAAGGTCGAGCTACAGCACCTCCTGCGTTCTCGGCCAAGATTGGGGTTTGGAATTCGAGGAAGCGCTTCGAATGCAGATGGTCGCGCATAAATCTCATGATCTCGGATCGCAGGCGCAAGACATCTACGACCTCTCGGTTCACGAGCATGTCAACATGGCGGCCTTGCATCTTGGCCTTGGGATCAATGAGCGTCTTGGGAATCTGCTCCATGGTTGGGGCGAGAAGCTTGGGCATGGCGGTAGCGCTCAGGGTCATCTCGCCAGCCTTTGTTCGCGAAGGAATTCCAACTACGGCTACAATTTGCGTCAGCGACCACCACAGTAAAGGGATGGCTCCGATCTAGCTTACAGACGTGGTCTCCGACTTGTATCATTTTCTTGAACAGGGAGAATTTATTGATGCCGTCCTCTGAACGGATGAAAAGGTTCTGCCTATTGATCATAACTTGGACTTTTCGGAACTCATGCACGATATCGACAAAAATGAGCGCCTTGCCAGCAGAGCGCTTGGAACGGATACGGCCGCAGAGGGTTACCTCTTTGGGCGCTTCCTTTGCCTCTCCGTGGAAAGACGCCAGAAAATCAGACACCGATTTCCTCTCATGTTTAGACTTTTCTAGACGAGGATATGGGTCGGGAAACAGTGGTTCCTCGCTATTCTTATCCTCCTGAAATTCAGCCTGGCGCTGCTTTTTGAATGGAGACAACTCATCGTCTTCCGAGGGTTCCAGCTCGCTGGAAAAACGGTTCGCTCCGCTGCACTGTACAGAAGAGGTGAGATGACGAGAGTATTCTCCTAACAAAACAGGCGCGCGAAGCCTTGAGGGAACGGGCGACGACCTGAGGGTAGGTCTCAGTGAGCGACATAGTACGGACTGGCAAGCCAGTCGAAGGCGAATGGGCGAGTTCATCGCAACTAATAAGCGGTTAGTTAGACATATGCCAACCAGAGATTGAAATTCGTAATAAGAAGAAATGCAATTGGTTCAACCAAGAAATCAGTCATAGGCATTTATAATCACACACAGCAAGCTGTGTCAATCGCAGCGGTTCTGAAGCGAGAATGCAAACTCATCATGTAGTTGGGCAATTTGAACTGGGGAGAAGGTAGGTGCTGATGGACTTACAATCATACTGAAGCTCAACTGGGAAAGGAATTCAACCAAGCGGATGCGCCTTTGCCCAGAAGAGTTTGATGGTGAAGACAAAAGAAAAGAATTGAGTCGGACGGAATTTTTTTTATAGTATGCAGTAAAAGTTAAGACTGCCTATTCTGCCATTGTTTAGCCGACGGACGTTGCTGAAGGCTGAGCTAGCTTCGGCCTACCTAAGCAGACAGCAGGTGCAAGCTTCAGTGGGCAGAGCTCACTTGAACCAACCAACCCGGCTGAAATTTATTCCTACGCGACAACATCGCGTGCATCAACCACCTGAAGCCGCGCTCGATTGATCCATCAACCAAGCCAATCCCGGCACATCACATTCGCGCAGAACCGAATTGACTCCTTCGCGAACAGTCATTCATCGGCCATGGCCCAACAGCCTTTATCCTCGGCGGCCCAGCCCACCGACATCTACGGTGGAGGTGGGTAGCTTTGGTCTAACTTGCTATGGTTCGCATTGCTAACCATCACGTCCCTAGATGAGGTTTCTGCTCTCGTTCTCGATCCTGGATACTGCAATACACGCGCCGGATGGGCAGGCGAAGATGTCCCCAAGTCCATTCTGCCGTCCTTTTACGGCCACTCGACGGCTACTCCGCCCCAGAACTTCTTTGGTGACGAGCGTCTAATTCCCCGCGCCGACTTTGAGATTCGCAACTACATGAACAAGGATAGCGTTGTCGAGGATTGGGATGTCGCGCCGAAGATCTGGGAGCACATGCTCATCAACCGACTACAGCCCGACAAGCAGACGCCACCGTCAAAGAACGGTCTCAATGATGACCCCAAGGAGAAGACCCAGGACGGCGAGGGTGACGTTGCCATGGAAGAGACAGAGAATCAGGAAATCGAAAAGTTGCTCCAGGAGAACCCTCTCCTTGTGACGGAGGCGCCTTGGAATACCCCCAAAGCACGAGAGAAGACCACCGAGGTCATCATGGAAACATGGGGTTGCCCAGCGTTTTGGCTCAGCCGCACACCGGTGCTCTCAGCATTCGCCGCGGGTAAGGCGACGGCGTTGGTTATCGATGTCGGTGGCGCGAATACTTCAGTGGCCGCTATCCACGATGGAATGGTTCTGAAGCGATCGATCCAGAAGTCTCCCATTGGCGGTCTCTGGTTGTCCTCTCAGATACGCAGCCTGTGGGAAACATCGGAACCCAAGGTTACTCTCACCCCAACCTATATGGTGGAAAACAAGACCCCAGTAGATGCTCTGGCTCCTGTTCAGGCCCGTCTGCGACAGTTCCCCTACCAAATCCACAGCTCATTCCGGGCATACGAGGAGGAGCGTGTATTGACAGAGTTCAAGGAGTCGGTCGTAGAGGTCTGGAACAAGCCTGGACGTCTCAACTCGCCAGGAAATGAAGATTTCGCCAAGACACTCCCTGGCCGCGTATTCGAGATGCCCGATGGATGGAACCAGATGTGGCGCGAGCAGCGATTCAAGCTCACCGAGGGCCTGTTCGATGAGACAGCCGGCTATCCCCTGCCCGAGGAGGAGCGTGTGGGTAAGAACCAAACCATTCCTGCTCTTATCCGTGCTGCCCTGGAGGCTGTCGATGTTGACTTGCGGGGCAACCTGCTTGCCAACGTTGTCGTGACCGGCAGCACTACCCTGATCAATGGCTTCAACGATCGTCTCCAGAATGAACTGGCGGCCATGTATCCCGGAATGAAGATCAAGATCCACGCTGCCGGTTTGACGAGCGAGAGACGGTTCGGTGCCTGGATCGGCGGCAGCATCCTTGCAAGCCTGGGCACTTTCCACCAAATGTGGATCTCTCGAAAGGAGTACGAGGAGAATGGCCCGGGCATTGTCGAGAAGAGGTGTAAGTAATTTCACAGAGGCGATGGTAACGGGTTTTTGGGAAAGCTGAAAAGGGCGTACGGAGTTGAAGACGAACAGTTTTGCTGGAGAGGGTATCAAACAAATGTAGTAAATTTAGATAAAAACCAAGCTCCATGCTGTCATCAGGTCTTTTTGTTACACTCCCTCCTTGTACAGCGTCTCAAATCTCTACTTGACAGAACATCTATGCTAAATCGATCGCCAAGTTTACAAAATTACATATTGTCAGCTCGCCTCCTCTTGCTCAGCCTCCCGCTCCGCTCTCCTTTCCTTGACCCAGCTCCCAAGCTCGCTCCATATCCTCTGCTTCTCTGCTGGAGAAAGCGTGGCAGCCAGCCCGCTGGTGCTGGTACCAACAAATACGCGCGCGCCCTCCCACTCACCGTCAATAACGCCCATGTTCTCGCTCGCGTCCTGCCAGCCGTACTTGAACTGACTCTTAGTGATGGCGCGGCCGTGCCTGACGCGCCAGATGCTTTCCCAGATGCTCTTGCCCACGATGCACATGCTCTCCGGGCGCCACTTCCTCGCCTTCTCCTCCAGGATGGCGACCCCCTCGTCCATCTCCGCCTTGCTGAGCTCGGCGCCGTTGCGGCTGGGCCGCCCGACGATGTTGGTCAGGCCCAGGGAGTAGAGCTCGGGCATCTGGCGGTCCTCGGTTGGAGAGCAGAGCCGCGGGGTGATGCCGCTCGAGAAGAGGAGCTTCCAGAACAGGTTGGAGGGGTGCGCGTAGGCGTGGCCGGAGCGGGCGGTCTGGATGCCCGGGTTGAGCCCGACGAACTGGACGATGAGGTTGGCGGTGATGGCATCGGGCAACAGGGGGAGATGGGCGTAGGTAGAGGGAGGGGCATAGGAAGATGCCGTACGCTTTCTCTTCTTCGGGCTGGGCTTGCTGGGACTCAGAGGATCTGCCTCCTGGTCTGCCTCCTGGGTGCTTCGTGCCCGCCTCTTCTTCCGCTTGGGAGGTGAGGATGGCCGAGGTAGTATTGAGGCTGGGCCATCGGTTGACTTTGATATCCGGGCACTTCGCCTGGGATATGAATCGTTGCCCTGGAACATGAAGTCTTTCAGGTTGACGCTGCCTTCGAAGGTTGGTGGTCTGCGAGGCTCAGTTGACTCTGAATTGTCTGGAGACATTTGGGATTTGATTATTCTTTCTTTGATGGGAAGGAGGTTGAATATTATTAAAATGCTAATAACAAGAAGTAGGCTGAGCAAAATTAGATCAACAGACTGGCTATCAAATGATCATCTATACGATGGACCCGAGTGAAGCTGAAACCGCAGCTGAAGATAGTCTACGGCTAGAGTGAAGGCAAGTGGAGCCGTCCAGGCTGCCCCGCCAATGATTTACTGGCAATTTACCCTCTGCCAGGCAACAAGGTCCACTGCCAACAGCCTTATGCCCCCTGTGGACCGCCTGAACCAGGATAGGGGCCCTTGCCCATTCTCCCTATCACTGCTTGCTCCCTTCCATGAGGAAGAATCTGGAAAGACAAATAACAAAGTTGACTCTATCAATAGATTCTCATTTCTGCACCGGCAACTCAATCGAGAATATGGCAAGTTTTTGGGATACAGCTTGCGATGGCTGCCGGGTTGAAGCAGCTTGGCCTTCTTTTGTATGGTGACTTCCTAGGAAGTTTCAATAATGAAAAGATTCACACTGACCCTGACCTAGTGAAATTCAACGACTGCCATCCATCACCCACGTTGGTTCACTGCATCAATCTATTGTATACTGTTCACTCTGGCTAGTAAAAGTGTCACTCCCGCAGGGAATCGTCGCAACTTTGTCAAATCAGCTCCTAGTGTTGATCTAAGCTACGAGTTGCAACGACGTGGAACATTGACCAATAGGATAGGTCATATTTCATCCTGTATAGTCTCATATCCCGAGCAACTCGCGTCAGCCATCTAACACAGACGCGTGGCCCAATCAAGGCCCAGGCGATAATCAATGGTGAATATTGCACCACCGTGGTGGAGGGCTGATGCCATCCTTGACGGCTCTGATTGATCGTCCGCCGCACTTACATGACATGCCTTGCATCGCTTTGTGGTTGCTTTCCCCCGCATTGCCATCAACGCCATCTTGGCTGCGGCTTTCGCATCTTGGGTTTGTCATCCTGGTAGACGTTTCCTGGCACACGAATGGCTGTGCACATCTCGGTGATGGCGCCATTTCACTTGTGTGGTGCCGAGAACCGCATTGCGTTCAGCTGGTTCGTGTATAAAGAGATATAATGTTCCGCCAAGTCTGGGTTATTATACCATAGACAAGATACCTTCTTCAGATCCCACCCATTGCAAGATTCCCTTCAACCCAGTGTTACAACTGATAACTCACGTCCAATTCTTCCCATCTCCTCCAATGTCTCCTTCGGCTACCGAAACGACTTCAAAGGAGGCCTCAGAGCCTATCCAGGTCAAGAAGGCCCTCCCTGTCTCGACTGGCCGCGCTCAACTCAATTTTGAGGGAGCAGCCGTTCCAGAGGATGAAGAGCTCCCTGAGCTCCGAACCGGCCACAAGGAACCTCTCAAAGTGAGCGGTGCCCTTGACAAGTACGAGCACTTCGACGTGACTCCAATCATTGGTCGAGAATATGTGAATGTCAACCTGGCAGAGTTCCTCAATGCTCCCAACTCGGATGAGCTCCTACGTGACCTCGCTATTACTGGTATGCTCTATTACTCTCACTGCCACCAATAAAGTAAAAAGGCTTACAATCATGTAGTTTCCCAAAGAGGTGTGGTGTTCTTCCGCAAGCAGGACGACATCACAAACGACCTCCAGAAGCAGCTTGTCCAGCGTCTTGGAGAGCTATCTGGCAAGCCTTCAACGAGCAAGCTGCACATTCATCCCGTGGCCAACTCCGGCCGTGGGGTTGTAGCCGATGATGAAATCAGTGTCATTTCATCAGTCCTGGCCAAGAAGCACTACTCGGAGAAGTTTGGAACCAGGAAGCAATCTCAAAAGGGGCAGTGGCACTCTGATATTACTTTCGAGCCCATCCCCAGTGACTATGCGCTACTTCGTCTAACCGAGCTCCCAACTACTGGCGGAGGTAAGCATCGCTATTTATCTCCAGCTCTCATTGTATTGGTCTTCAAAATCGACTGGAACGTGCTAACGATCTCTCCACTAAACAGACACCCTCTGGGCATCCGGCTACGAGGTCTACGACCGCATCTCGAAGCCCCTCCAGCGCTTCCTCGACACCCTCACGGCAACCTACGCCCAGCCGGGCTTCAACGAGTCGGCGGAGCGCAACGGCTTCAAGCTGTATAGCGCCGAGCGAGGCGCCCCCGAGAACGTGGGCGAGCTCCTCGAGGCGATCCACCCCGTCATCCGCACGAACCCCGTGACGGGCTGGAAGAGCGTCTTCGCCGTGGGCCACCACGTCCAGAAGATCAACGGGCTGAGCGAGGCCGAGTCGAAGCACTTCCTCGACTGGTTCGTCCAGCTCATCGTCGAGAACCACGACCTGCAGGTCCGCCACCGGTGGCAGAACGTCAATGATCTGGCCATCTGGGACAACCGGTCGGTGTACCACGCGGCCACTCCCGATTACATCTTCTCCAATAACGGCGAGAGGACTGGCTCGCGCTCCGTCAGTCTGGGAGAACGGCCGTACTTTGACGCTCAGAGTATTGGCCGCACAGAGGCTCTGTTCAAGAAGGAGGAGGCATCGGCCTAAGCGTAGTATAGTATTATTCCTTCAATCAACGCAGCTATTTTTGGATGTAACTGAACAAACCGTTGGGCTTTCGTTTTATCAAATTACTTCATTTGCCTAATTATGCCGTACTAGCTATTTCTGATATCCTGACTCTTACACTGTAGTCGGCATGACAGTCCAAAAGCTGTGACACTTGTTAGTCATAATACAACCAAACCAGAAAAGCCTCCAAATCATTAGACGGCACGAAGGAGCTTAGTAACCTCGTCTAAGCTGACCTGTAGAGCCTTCTCCATGAATCTGGGAATATCAATATTGTCCCAGTTACCGGCAAGGGTCTTCTTCAGCTCATCGCCCACCTTTCCCGCCCCGTATGAATATAGAACAGTATCAACAGCAGTGTGGCCACCCGTAGACCACTCAACACCAATACGTTTGTTCAAAAATTTCGCCAGGTTAGCTACGAAGTCACCAGCCAGCGTGGCCTCGATCTCGTCGTCGGTGGCGTCGGAGAGCGCGTAGGCTGGGAGGACCTCATTGACGAGGAATTCTCGTCGGTCGTCGCCGTCGTACTTGTCCCAGATACCCTTGAGGTGCTCGGCAGATTGCTTCACGTCTTTGAGGCGTCGTGGGTCGTAGCCTGAAGGCAGTGTAAGCCCTCCGGTCTCGTGGTCCGCAACGGACATCATGGCTGTGTCGGGGTGGTTGTCGATCCAGGTCTTGACGACATCGAGGACTTGGTTGTATTCCAGCGTATCCCAGAGGTGGGCGCCGGAGTCGTGGGCATGAGCGGCATGGTCAATGCGAGATGCCTCGATCAGCATGAAGTATCCCTTTTTCTTGGAGCCCGTGGCGCGATCAAGTGCATTCAGGGCCGTGGTGGTCATCTCAGACAGAGAAGGCTCGCGAACATCCTCGGCTTGAGCCTTACGGTCAACCTCATAGCTCAGCTGGTCGTCGTTGAAGAGGCCGACGAATGGAAGATGAATAGAGCCCAGACCGAGTTCTAGATCGTCAAACTGGGAGCGGTTCTGGGCCACGTAGTAGCCCTTCTCCTGGGCAAATTTGATCAGGTCGACATCGTCTCCACGGCAGGAACCAGAGCCGGACTTGGGCTTGTAGTAGCAACGGCCTCCACCCATGAGGATGTCAACGCTCTGGTTAAGGGGGTGGGAGTAGCCCAGCTGCTGGGCCGCAATGCCGTCGTAGTCGTTACGGCTTGTGATGTGAGCGGAAAAGCCTAGAGATCAATGTCGGGACAGTGTCCCCTCTTCCAGAATTATAACTACATACTAGCAGGAGTAGCATGGTTTGCAGTCGACGTGACAACAATTGCTGTACGGTAACCGTTAAGTTTAGCGGCCTCGAGGATGTTGCCTACCAGACTCCCATCAGGCTGAACTCCAATCATCCCGTTCTCCGTCTTGAAGCCGGTTGCAATGGCTGTACCGGCGGCAGCAGAATCAGTAACGAGGTTGTTGTTGGAGTGAGTTCTCACATTTCCCACCGGCTTTTGGAGCAAACGAATAAGCATATTTCTCATTCATGTTGAAGAACTTGCATTCTTACCAAAAGATCTCCAGGGAGATCCTTGATTGAGGGAGCACCCGGAGTAGACTCTCCCTCGGCCAATGACACGTAAGTTCTCGCAAGAGTTTGCCCAGAACCTGGAAATAGAATATATTAGTGACAGGAAGTCTGAAAATATCTCTAATACGCACCGCCAAAACCATCAGGAACGATGAATATCAAGTTCTTGGGCTGGGCAGCACCCAAGACCAGGGTGGCGAAGGTGCCAGCGAGAGCAGCTGAAGCCTTCATGTTGATTCGAAGAGAAAGAATCGATAGTTTATCGATGTAGCGAATAATCAAAGGCTGTGTCTTATACTGGACGTGGCCAATGGAGCGACGGCTTACAAGATGCAAGGAAAGAGTGTTCAAACTCGATGTCTCTATCATGCCTTGAAGATTTGAAAGACATTCGTGTCTTTTTATATTCAAAACCCATCCACCATGATGCAGTTACATTCGCATGCAATGGAACGCTCAACTTCCCAGTTTGGCGAGGGCAATAACCATTCCATGCCCGGCATTGTACAACCAAAGGGATTCTCGACAACAGTGGCCCTCTAAGAGCAAATGACAGGCTTCTGCACAAAGTTGAAAAGAGTCCACTAAACTACTACGCTGATCATGATGGGATGGGTCTGACAGATAGCAACGAGTGCCGATGCCAGGAACGTTCGGCGGATGATTCGGAACATCCCAGTTCAAGGCCGGGAAACGTTTAGCCTTACACAGAAGGAGGTTATTGTAGGTAGCCCTGGTAGCCTTGGCCTTCACGTCTTGAGCCCATCAGCTGTTCATGGATCAAACAACTATGAAGATGGTTGGTAATTCCCAATGAACTTGAACTGGGCTACCCACGTGCTCGCTATCGTATTCACATGGCAGGCTGGAGTTATGGCACTGCCCCGTCAATTTTACCTTGCACATAAGCTTATTTGAGTTGCAAGGGCACCCAGCCTCAACTACTCTTAGCGGGATGTGATGCAGTGACTTCTCTCCGCCGAGCTTGCTCGTACGATATAAAGGAGCTTATCCGAGATCAAACCCCCCACGAGGGATCACGGCGGCCTGTGAATGGATGGATAATGAATAAGGCAAGTTTAATTACGTGCCTCATTCAATTGCCGATCTCCTCAATCGAGTCTCTTCTGGCTGCACGACAAATTCTCTCATAATTAGCCTTCTGCCCATCAAGGTTCACCGGATTTACTTGCATGTACCGTTACTTCAACGTCTTGGCGCCGTTGGTAACCTCCCTGCAATGTGACCCATCATGAAATATCACAAGGAAACGTCACGAGTTGTCGCGGGGGATACGAGAGGTAGAGTGTTGGGCCCCGTTTCCCCTATCGTAGCTCTTCTAAAGTATGGAAACATCACATTTTGGGTCATAGAGGGCCTGAAATACGTGTGCATCAAGTGCCTTGCCTACAACGGATAGCTCTGTGATTCACAATCAATCATACCAAAGATAGGCTGGGAGATTTTCTTTTTGATACCACGAGGGCTAGCACTGCTCTTCGCTGGACTGCGGACCAATATCCTAAGAATATGTGTAGGTATGTACAGATGGGGTGCTGGTCAACTACTTAATCCTCATCGAGGGAGCGGTCAATTTCAACACTCTCCTTCTCCTTACTTGAAGCGTCCTTGCCTTTCTTCTTCATAAACCGCCAATTGCTCATCCGGCTCTCCTTAACGTCCTTGGACTTGGATGGCGCAAGAGATGGGCTGCTCGTTACGCTATCGTAGCTGCGTCCCAGTGGGGTGTGCTCTTCCCCAAGCTCATCTAAATCCCCAATGCTTGATCGATGGTCCGCCGACGCATTCCTGTCCGAGTTTGTAGCACTGCCTGGGCCCTTCTTAAACAGACTCGAGTCTTTACCCAGTCTGCTTGAAAGACTGAACTTGCTTGAGCTCCCTTTTCGCAACAGTTTCCTAATGCCGTTCACGCTGTCGGAGTCCTTTGAAAGACTGCTGTTCATCTCGAGATTGGTATTAGAGCTCGATCCCTCAAGGGGAAGTGATTCATGGGACTCGGAAACAGATGTTTGGGTGTGAACTGAGAATGTGTCACGGGATAAGCGCGAATCAGACGGCGACTCGTCAGGACCTGTGGGCGAATCCACGGTGGGAGACAAGGCTTCCTTGCCTTTCCCCTTTCCATCTTTCGCCTTGTCCTTGGCTCGATCCTTGTCTTTGTCTTTGCGGAACAAGCCTTTGAATGTGGGCGCATTGGGATTTAGTCGCTGACTAATTGACTTGGATGCTCCAGGGGGACGAGATCCGATAACTCCAACTTGACTGGGGGATGTTTGAGGGTCAAGTAGCTCGGTTTCGTAGAGAATCTCGTCATCGGCGGATGCTAACGAGGTTGTGAGAGCAGAGGGGGAGCCATGGATCGAGGGACGACGAGAGCCACTTCGAGATGGCCACCGGCCTTCATTCGGAGACCAGAGCCGATTCTTGGCGAGGGTAGCAACATCACCAGGGGCCCCCCATATAGATCCACTGTCCGTAGAAGGCCGAGGAAGATCAGATCCAGATGCAATAGAAGGAGGTCGCGAACGATGAGGATCACGGTCGGAGAAGATAGCGCTGGCTGAGCTGGCAAATGGATTGAGCCGCCTAGAGAACATTTTTGAACTGGTCGACATGTGGGTGGGATTCCCTTCAAAGCCTGTCGAATTACGATGGCCTTTGAATGAGAAGCTCATCCGTCGACGGCTGCCGAACAATTCACTTTCGTCAGTCCCACGAGGGAACGACTGGCTTTGTCCAGGCTTCAAGCTCCCAATCGGCGGGCCCCCCTCATCATCAGCCTTGGCTCCCTCACCTCGTCGGAATCCGGATAGAAGACTGGCCAATCTCAGGCCACTTGCTGGAGGGGCGGCTGGGCTGGAGTTGAGATTCAGAGATCCACGGTCACTATTATCTTGGTATGAAGGGAAGGGTAGGTTGGTCGATGATTCACGAGGACTTGAGAAGATGCTCAGTGAATGGTTGGATGAGACTGGAGATTGCGGTATTTCGTCTCCGGCGGCGACACTCTCTGGAAGCAGGGGGGTCTGTGTAGCCTTACTATCCGATCCTTCAAAGTCGATGATGCCGGAAGGTAAGTAAGCATGCGCAGATGGACTAAGAGGTCCGGCCGTGGTCTTCAACTCGTCCTCTGTCTGAGGGTCATTTGCATCATTAGGAATAAAAAGTACTGGGCCAAAACTTGGACGTCCTAGCGCAGGAGGCAGCGAAGTATTCGACTCCGACATGACAAAACGCGTAGGGGGTGACAGCCTGGGTTCGCTGCTATGATAGCTTTCGCGTTTTTGTTGGACGGGGGCGGAATCATCAAAGTCGAGAGGTGGTGCATCTGACTGGTTGAAGAATGCTGCGTGGTGATGAATGCTGAGCTGTTCAATCAGGGCCTGGTAATGCTGATCCAGTTGGTGGCTGGCCTTGGTCTCCTCAACAAGTCGGTGGTGCAAGGTATTCCTAACAACCTCCCACTCTCGGCGACTTCTCTCATCACTTTCCCTCATCAACTCATCATCTGCCCCAGAAAGGTGCTTCCGAGCTTCCTTCATCTCGTTCAGCTGCTTTCCTTTATTGCTGAGGTCCGCCTCAAGCTCATTGTGTTCCTCTTGAAGGGTGGTAATTTCCTGGTTGAGGGTACAAATGTCTTGATCTCTCTTCTCCTTTAGACTAGCCTTCTGATCTTGAAAGCTACTGCACTCCTTCCTCATCCTCTCAATCTCCTTTTCGAGTTTGGAAATGTTGTCTCGGACCTTGGATTTCTTACTGTCACGATCCTTGAGCTGTTGGTCTTTCTTCGCTCTCTCTTTCTCTGCAGCTCGCATTTGCTCCATGGTAGTACGGACCAGAGACTTTAGTTGAGCCGTCTGCTCTTCCTTCTCTTTGAGTGACATCTTTTTCACGTCCTTTTCTTTTCGTAGCTCTTCTTCAGCTTGTAGAAACTCTTCTTCTTCTTTGACTTGGAGCGAAAGTGTATCATTGATCTCTTTACGGATTTCCTGAAATCGATGATTCAGCTCGTCGAGGGATGGTTCGGGACCTTCGGTATCAAATTGCCTAATCGAAGCCTGATCACTGCTAGCTACCGATGGCGAGTGTCGACGATTTAGGGTATTTCTTCGTTGGCCGGGCGCTGTAGACGGGAGATCTCGTGTTGCATTTACTGCTCCATCGAGAGGAGGCGCTGTCTCGACAGCGGCAGCAGCGAATGAAGGCGCGCGGCCCTCCGAACCAATCCCGTCATCAATTCCTCGTGGCTTGGTATCCTCATCGTCCACAAAATTCGCCGGGAGTCGGGCATTGCCAAGGGAAGGCCTGCCATCGCTGCCGAATGTCCTGAGCCGCACCGTATCGCTGGCAGCCTGGAAATTGTTCTGGCCAATAGCAACAACGCGAATATTGTAAAAATGGCTTGGCTTAAGGCCAGTTACGGTGATCGCAGTTTCATCGTGGGGTGATTCTCCAACTACATAACAACGAACGGTTCAGCGGGGGCGTCGAGGGGAGCCCGGGTGGAGGGAGCCTACCATTGATTCCATTGACCTGTATCAAATACTTTTGGACCGGGCGGTTATTAGGAGGTTTGGTCCAGGTGAGAGTAGCAGCATCTGCTCGGATACCAGCAAGAGAGACATCGGGGGCTTCAGGAACGTCAACGCCGAGAATGTTGATCAGCTCTGGCACAGGTTTCCAAAGGGTCTGCCACGAGCGATGCAGTAACCTGATGAGGCGCGGAGTGGTATTAGACAAGATTTGCCGATATTTCGTATATTCGGGGAGGAGGGGGTTTTTCCCTAGCTTACCAGACCACGGCGCCAAGTGTCAAGACCATTCTAAAATGCGTCACGAGAAGCACATCGAATCGAATGTCGTTCCAGCCTTGAAAGGCAGTCGAGGACAGATGCTGGATCAGGAGGACGGGATCCGGATAAAAAGCCAAGGCGCAAAAGACAACCCCAATTGCTTTCAGGACGGCGGAGGTCGTGTTGCTCGAACGAATCGTCCAGATGCTGAAGACGCTGACGATGAGGGTTAAGAGCGATAACTCCCATGACATGTTCTCAGCGCACGCAATGCAACGGCACAGGGAGAGTAGACGACCTTCGAGGTCCCAGGAGATGCGCGCGCGTAGAAATCCAGCATTCGTGGGGATGACTGCGCGGTTGGTAGGCGGGCGGGATGCGATGGAGGTGCAAGAACAGCAGAAAATGAGGACTTGGCAGTGGCACAATGGATCCCCAAATGGAAATGCGGCGAGGCGATTGGCGGACAGATGCGGAGGGGTGGCTAGCAGTAGAAGCACCGCCAGCGGGAGAAAAAAGCCACTACCTTACCTGTAGGCTGTACCCTACCAACAAGCCTGGCTGCTATTTATAAAGGCTGGTTCGGGTTGCAGGACGTCAACATGAATGGCCGGGAAAGCGAAGCGATGCTGGATGCTGGGTGGGATGAATTAGGGGGCCGGGCGGTAATGAAATGGTCAGCTCGCTGTTCCCCAGGTCTAAAGCGCGATCGCTATTAAGAATGCAATGAACGGGGATTTTGAGTTTTTCCGCTCTGTGTTGTTGACAGATAAATTGACCAAGGCCAGCTCGGGAAAGAATACGAGTGAGGTGGACGGCGATTACCTAATATTGAGACTTGGCTGTTGACAGCGGAACTTTGCCTAATAACAGCCATCTTAGCGATGAAACCGTGGATAGGGTTTTCACGGCAGCGAACCGATGCCATTAGATCGGATGGAGGCTGCCGCATTTGCTGTAGCCTTGCCGGAGAGCCCGTGAGCTCGCTCTGGCAGATGAAAGCGATTGGATAGCATCTCTGTACTCGACATCTTTCTCGGGACAACTACGATATACAAACAGCTAGATCAATAGCAAGAACGTTACGTGGTGGACTAGTAACTAGCTGCTTTCCCGTTCTCTGCCTGCCTGCCGCTAGGTATAGAATTGTTTAGTAGCTTGCGTATGCCACCACCCGAGTCAATCCTCACTCGATGAGACCCGGTCGGTCCGGTAATGCTCTCGGTGAAAGGAACGGCTTCTGATCTTGCAACTGTGGGTGTATCATCACTTGGATCCTTAGTGGGTAGGAAGCTGTCAAGAACAACGTGATGGCGGCGGGCTCATGTATCAGCCTGTAGGTGCATCAAAGCCACTACGATTAGCGAGATGAATGCACCAAGAATCCAGAGATGCACGAAATGCCTGGCCCACTGCATATTGCCATGGCACCTAGGGCATTGAACAGCGCATTGGCTTCATGCACATGAAAATGGCTGGGCCAGCATGGACTGGCTACAGTCTCAGCAACAGGCGGTGGAGGCTGCCGACCGAGACTTGGAGGAATCGATGATGGTCAGCCTCGGCCCTACAGCACGGAAAAAATGTATTTTTGTGGCCCTGAAACGCTGCTTGCCGTTTTGATCCTAGCAGCGACAGCCAGGCACCAAGTAAGGAATTGCCCTTTTGCACGTTGCCTCCGCAGCCTGTCATCCAGCTTGTGATCCGCACGGGTTACCGGCCGCCGAGCGCTGGGAATGGGGTGTCACATGCAATGCAGCCACCGAGAGGCTGCTGTGGCACTGGGATGGACTCTGAATTTGGTGGGGTGGCTGGTCGCTGGCCGCTGCTCAACAGAAGGCCCCAGCCCAACATCAACTCCCTTGGATGCAGGTAATCCATTTCTCGACGCAGCAAGTCCCCGGTTCCCACCCTCCTGGATATCAGCAGACGTCCTCCCTCGCCCGATTTAAGATTCGCATCCTCACCCATCCTCATGGAGTGTGCATAACCTCCTCCAACGTTGATCCCGTTTTGTCTGGGAGCAGGCCCGTCAGCACCCCTGCACAGTCCTCGATTATTACGTATGACCCTCTTGGCTCACCCGCTGTCAGCCGCCCAACAAACGTGGGAAGGTCTTCAGACCATTTCGCATGCGATCGGCTCAACCAAATTCGTTTTCTATTCACCATTTGATGCGTGTGCTTTGCCGACACCTCGCCTATAGCCTAGGTAGTTGGACATTGTGAAAACTCTATTTCGCTGCGGCGAACAACCTTACAAGCTGCGCGTGCGACAACTCTCTGATTTACTACCTGCATCCCGGCTCTAACAAGGCGTCGAGGTTACAATGCAGTACGTCAGAAACTTGAGCGACTCAGTTTCGACAGCATGGAACTCCTTGAACCCCGCTACACTTAGCGGTGCCATCGATGTCATTGTTGTCGAGCAAGATGATGGCTCGTTCGCCTGTTCTCCATTCCATGTGCGGTTTGGCAAGTTCTCTCTTCTCCGACCCAGTGACAAGAAAGTCGAGTTCAAGGTCAACGGCGTCAAGCAAGAGTATTCCATGAAGCTTGGAGTGGGAGGAGAGGCCTTTTTTGTCTTCGAAACAACTGAAAATATTCCTCAGTCCCTCCAAACATCGCCGTTGGTGTCGCCAGCAAGCAGTCCTCCCCTTGACCCTTCTACGCCCGATTTGAAAGAGCCAGACACACTTGAACTTGATCCGCAGGCTTCAACACCCCAGAGGCCCCCTAACGCCATCCTACAGACACAGCCAGATGACAATGGTATGTGGAGCGACTCGTCAAGTTGAATTTGCCACTAATGTTTCTGCTAGGCATGATCACACCCGTTACAGCCTCCCCCAACCTGCTGCCCACTCGTCCTGCTTCGGGTGATTGGTCTAACGTTACTCCGCGACATCATAGCGACGATGTGATCCGATACTCAGCCCGGTCGAAAGATAGAGATGAAGACAAGTCGGGCGACGAAGAAGAAGAGAGCGGTAACACCTCCGATAGATCCCACAGTCCTCCGCCGCTGAGCCCCAAGGAGGCCATCGAACGGGCAATGGCCCTCTCGCGCGAACTCGCAACTGTCAATATCCCTAGTATAGTCACCGAAACGGGTGATCTCATGCTCGACATGTCGGGCTACAAGAACAGCGAAGAAGAGATGATTCGTGCCGAGGTATTGGCAAGGAATATTCTTTCCAAGGAGCTTGACGGCAACTATGACATTGGATCTCTCTTCGGATTTGACACTGAGGGCAATCTTTGGATTTACAGTAGTGAGGAAGCACGACAGGCAGCTATGAAGAGGACGATGGAGTCTACTCTTTCACACCATGGACATGGAGTGGCTGCAGATGCCGCCTCGGATCCTGGATACCAAAGCGATGGCAGTGATGTCACAGCATCCATGATTCCGTCGCATAGGCGCGCAGAATCTGCTGGGCCGGCTGATATGCAAACGCCCCCAAGAACACCCCCAGGATCTAGCCCTTCGGGCGATTCGACCCGAAACTACGCCAAGACTCTTCGGTTGACTAGTGAGCAGCTCAAAGATCTCAATCTACAGCCAGGTCCAAATGCGATGAGCTTCACAGTGAACAGGGCAACATGCTCTGCTAACATGTACCTGTGGAAGCATGAAACCCCCGTGGTGATTTCCGACATCGACGGCACCATCACCAAGTCCGATGCCCTCGGCCATGTTCTCAACATGATAGGGCGAGATTGGACTCATGCAGGTATTGCGAAACTGTACAGTGATATTTCTGCCAACGGATATAATATCATGTATCTGACGAGTCGATCCGTCGGGCAGGCCGATACCACTCGGGCCTACCTGAGCAACATTGTTCAAGAAGGTTGCCGAATGCCTGCCGGGCCAACAATTCTATCCCCAGACCGGACAATGGCGGCGTTACGACGAGAGGTCTACTTGCGTCAACCCCAGGTGTTCAAGATGGCTACCCTTCGCGACATCAGCAATCTTTATGGACCTGAGCACAGTCCGTTCTACGCAGGATTTGGCAATCGTCTGACAGATCAGATCTCGTACAGAACTGTCGATGTTCCCAGGAACCGAATTTTCACAATCAATTCCAACTCGGAGGTGTCACTTGATCTTCTGACCCTTAATAAGCTAAAGATGACCTATGTCAACATCAACGAGGTTGTAGACCACTACTTCCCACCTGTCAGCACCTTGGTGACTGGTGGAGGAGAGGCATACACCGATTTCATGTACTGGAGGGATGATCCACTCCCACTGGATGACTTTTCAGCCAGCGAAGTCGATGAGGATGAAGCAGACCAAGCGAGTCTATATGCAGAGGATGACGACGAGGAAGGTGATGATGCCCTAGCCGACAGCTATATTTCCCGTGACTCGTATGATGAGGGTGCGCCCCGTGACAGCATTGACAGCGTGGCCGATCTTCGACGCTCGTCCGAGGAAGCTTACGAGGATGCTGATGATGAAGAATACGATGATGAGGATGATGCATATGTTTCCGAAGATGATGTGCAGGAGTACGCCAACCGATCCACCACAGTCACGCCCGAGCGAAAACGAGTCGCAAGAGAAGATGTGAGCGCAGAAATTATCACAGGGGTTGGTCATCTATCCATCGGAGAAGATGCTAAGCAGTGATGCTAAGCGCGGACAGATATCTACGGGAACGGCAGCGGACAAACCATGACCTGCCCCCTTGGCAAAGGGTCAAAAGTATCAAGTTGAATAGCCTTCATCGAGCGCGCCGCTCATTGGTCATCCTATCTTGAGCCAAATTAGAAAAAAGCGAAGGGCCCAAGCGAGATTGGACACCACGGCCTCCCGAGGCTTTATACACCACACCGAGAGCGATTTCAACATTGTGGCATAGCGCGGCGTTTTGGAATAACATTGTTAGTTAGAGTAAGAGTCTTTGAATGATTTTGAACACATTGTGCCAGGTACAGAGCTGGAGACGAGCGCTTGCAAGATACCTTACTCTTAGAATAATAGACATATCATGAGATTTCTCTATTTGCATCCGTATGCTCCCACTGTTCTAACTTTTTTCCAATCCTTGTATACGCCAATTCCCATCTCATCCTCCGACTAGATCACTCATATATGCCCATTCTCGAGCTTGCTCATAACTGATAACCAAACCCCCTGTTTCCTTTTTTTTTTATCCAGAAAATTGCACATCTAATTCTTGTCCATGTGCTTGATGCGGATCTCGACAGCTCGTCTGTGAGCCTCGAGCTCCTCCACCTTGGCAAGTTGCATGACGGCTGAACCGACGTTGCGGAGACCCTCTGCTGAAAGGTTGGAGCTGGTAATGTGCTTCATGAAAGATCCCAGGTTGACTCCAGAGTACTGCTTAGCGAAACCGTACGTAGCTAGATAGTTTATTGTTAGTTATGATTGTAAACTATAGACAAGGCTGTATCCGGGGTTTACTTACGCAAGGAGTGATTGACTCCGGCCGAATAATCACCAACACTCTCAGGGGTCCACTCGCCGATGAAAACGCTACCGGCGTTCATCACCTTGTCAACCACCTTCTCGGCATCCTTGATTTGAAGGATAAGGTGCTCTGGCGCGTACTCGTTGCTGATCCGCATGGCCTCGTCAAGAGTCTTCACGAGAACTGTGACAGAGTGTTTGATGGAGCCGCGGACAATATCAACACGTGGGAGAGCAAGAGCCTGATTGTGAACCTCGTCGTCGATGGCTTGAAGCTGCTGCTCGTTGAGGTCAATGGCAAGCAGGATGACCTGGCTGTCCACACCGTGCTCCGCTTGAGACAGGAGATCAGAAGCGACAAATGCAGGGTTGGCGTCCTTATCAGCGACTACAAGAACCTCAGAGGGACCAGCAGGCATGTCAATACCGACTCCAGCGTTGGTGTCGTTGCTAACGTGCATCTTGGCGGCTGTAACGAACTGATTGCCGGGGCCGAGAATCTTGTCGACCTTGGTGATGCTCTCAGTGCCATACGCCATGGCAGCAACAGCTTGAGCACCGCCAGCGAGAACGATGCTTTCAGCGCCGACCTTGTGGGCGACATAGACAATCTCAGGGGTGACCCTACCGTCTGACCTAGGAGGAGAAGCGAAGACGATCTTCTTGCAACCGGCAACCATAGCGGGGACACCAAGCATCAGAGCAGTACTAGGAAGGACTGCAGTACCTCCAGGGATATAAAGACCAACTCTCTCGATAGGACGAGAGAATCGGCTGCACACCACACCTGGCATGGTCTCGACTCTGAGAGGCTTCTCTTCGGCCTGGGCGGAGTGAAATTTCTTGATATTCTCATAGGAGGTGTCGATAGCCTTGATAGTCTCTGGCGAAAGGTCCATGAGCTCCTTGGGGAAGGGGGCTTTCAGAACAGGCGAAGTCAGAGACGTTGCCTTTTCGAACTTGTGGGTATAGGAGAGCACTGCCTTGTCACCACCCTTCTTAACCTCCTCGATGATAGGGTGGATAATCTTTAAGATAGCATCTGGTGATTTTTGGGATGGTCTCTTGAGTTTCTCAAGAAGTTCTGCTTCGCTTGATTGCGAGGAGTCAATCTTCTGCATTACAATCTTCTCGTTGGTGGTATCGACGACAGGTGCAGGCTTTGCGGGTGCAGGTGCATCTGTCTTGATACCCTCCTTCTCAGCCCACTTGCCCTTGGCGTTGCCAGTCCTCCTCTTCACCTTCAAACTCTTGGCAGTTAGGTTTGCCTCAATGTCGGCCAGGCTAACGCCCGATCCGACAGCCTTGGTCAGAGCGAAGTAAATGAGATCCGCAGCCTCAAATGCTACCTCCTCAGGAGTCTTAGCATCACAGAGCTCTTCTGCCTCCTCCATGATCTTGGCTCTCAGCAGCTTTTCATCAGAGAAGAGTCGCGCAGTGTATGAACCTGCTGGAGCAGATTCTTTGCGAGACTTGAGAGTCTGCTCAAGCGCAACAATCCCACCCAGATCTCCAAAGCAGCTGAATTGTGGTAGGTGGCAGAAGCGTCCCTTTTGCCTAACCGTAAATTTCAAAGTATCATTATCACAGTCAAGAGCAACGCGAACCAGTTCCTGGGTATCGCCAGAGCTAAGACCCTTGACCCATAGGCCTCGCTTTCGACTCTGGTACACACCAGCCTGCCTTCGAATAGCTTCCAGAACGCTCTCGCTGCTGGAATAGGCCAAACCTAGTGCAACACCTGCCTCATCAGTGACAACCGTGGCAATCAAACCATCTGCGCGGTCAGATGTCCAGTAGGAAGCGAAGACTGTTGAAAGTTGGACGCGATCCTTGTCTTGCTCATCGGTGGTAAGACCAGTCGAGGGTAGCACCGGGATGGCGCCACAGCTCTTTGCTACCCCGATGAACTTTTCAATGGAAGCATTCGAGACAGGCTTGAGATAGAGGTTGTTGATTTTCTTTGATTTAGCCTCAGCAATGAAATTCTCGGCCTCGGCCGAGGAAGGATCGAACTCCTTGATAAGTAGACCATGCTCAGAGGCGGCTGAAAGATCAAGAGACGAAGTCGCCGGAAGAACTCGGGCGCCATATTCGGTATATTCTGATAAAGTTTCTGGTGTAACAAAGACCCTGCGTGTTCCTCGATCTAGGAGGGCAACAATTTCATCTGGGGAGTCAAGGCTCGTCACATCCATATGAGCATAGAACTCATGATTGTGGCGTCCGAGGAATTGAGAGAGCTTTTCCGCTATCTGAGGCTGGGCCTCGAAGAAGGGCGTGCCGAGAATAGACACCTCCTCGTGATTGAGCCCCTCAAGCTCTGCCAGTCCCGTGGGGGCAGCGACACTGACGAGGAATGGCAGGGGAAGAGTCACCTCCATGGTGAAGAGCAATTGAGTCTCTGTTCAAGCTGCTCCAGGAGTCTGATGGCTAGGCGGAACAAACGAACGGCTTTTGGTTTCAATGGTAGATAGGCGCGACCTGGAGCTAGAAAAGAATGTTGGATGAGTCTTTACAGGACCGGTTCCTTCATCGGCGGCATCTTGGTGGGGCACGTCCTGCCCCTCCAAAAAGCTGGGAAATATTTCGGAGGTACGTATCATCGGAAGGACGATGTGGTAGGTGGACACAATTGTGGCGTTTTTGATTGGCTTACGCAGCTTTAAGGTTTGGTCTGTGCGCACCCTCGGAACGCCTTCGGAATAACTAAAGTCCGGTTCACAGCTCGCCTGTCGCATCAGCTCGGCAAGTCTGAGCGTGCCTAGAGCTTCCTTGACATGCAAGGCGACTAAACCGGCTTTCTCGCGACGAATGTGATAATGAGCCAGTCTCAACCCAACGGGACGCAGACGACGTCTGCAACAAACTCGCAGACCGTCTTAAACACCCAAACAACCGCGACCACAGTCACTCAATCCCAGACAACAACTGGCACTGCGGCTCCCCCTCCTGCCGTATCCTCAGCTCCCCGACCACGCGATGCTCGGCTGATAGAGCTCCTCTTAAATTCCCAGGGAGTCACCGCATACGAACAGCGCGTGCCTCTCCTTCTCCTTGACTTTGCCTACCGCCACACGTCTGCTGTTCTCAACGATGCGATTCACCTAGCTGCCGATCCCTACGTGAAGGAAGCAGGATCAAAACCCTCTGCGTCTTCAGGCGCAACGGCAGCAGCCCCCGGCGAGGCACCCATAACAGCCAATGCGGTAAAACTTGCGATCGGCGCCCGTCTGAGTTACCAGTTCCGTGGCGGAAGTGCTGGTGGCGGTATCAGCAAAGAGTACATGCAAGAACTTGCCCGAGAGCGCAACAAGGTTTCGCTTCCAAAAATAGTCCCCAATGAGTGGGGTGTACGGCTCCCAAGCGAACGCTTCGTTCTGAGCGGTGCCAGCTGGGGCTTAAAAGACATGTGGGAGGAAGATGGAGAGGACGAGGATGATAATGACTCGTCAGGCGACGCGATGGAGGGCATTGAAGCACCGGAGCCTGAGGATGTTGGCGGAGACCCTGTCGAAGGCGGAACGGTTGATGACGTCTTTGGAGAAGACGTGGATGCAGAAATGGCAGAAGACAACTGATCCAAAACCTCTGTTGTGAATAGAAACAGCAGGCAGACACGTCAAGGCGATTCAAAGTTTCATTCAAGATACCGGGTGGCAGGAGTTTCAGGCGTTCAGGGTAAACAGAAGGCATCACTAGATACCAAAAGCCAATGGAGCAACACTTCAAATTTTATCCGGAATAGGGGTTGCATATTCACAAATACTCTGGCCGAAAGGAAGTTTCCAGCGCGAAAATGGGTTATCACGCGTGGTCAATTAAAGAGTTCAATGACATATATATGTTTTTTTTTTGCCACAATTCAGCCAGTCACCGGGATATTAAGTGATTATGTCTACAAGTCACGAACCAACTCATATGAACAAGGGAAATTTTATGGTACACTAGGCCTGTAAGCGGTATCTCATACACTCTATACCCAGCTCCTCACTTTCCGTACTCCGACCAATCGACAACTCCTTAGAACTTGGGCTTCATAGTATTCCTCAGTCTCTGGTAGTCGAACAGAGCCTCGATGGGACCAACAGCGCTAATGGCAATGTCCTTGTCCCACAGCTTGCGGTTGGCGAAGTCCATCACGTCCTTCTCAGTGATAGCGTTGATGCGGGTCTCAATCTCAAGGGGCGACAGGCGGCGGCCCGTGGTGATGATCTGGCGACCAATGTCCTCAGCAACGGCGGTGGTGCCGTCAAGAGAGAGGAGGATGGAAGCCTTGAGCTGGGCCTTGGCACGCTCAACCTCAGCCTCGCTGACGTTGTTGCAGAGACGCATCCACTCGCGGATGGCAAAGTGAACAAGGTCATCGAGTTGGGTCTTCTTATCGGTAGAGAGGTAGATACCCCAGAGACTAAATTATGTTAGCATGGTCGGATTCCCACATGTTCGGCATTTCAAATCCCTTACCCAGTGTCGCTGTAGCTGGTGGAGAAACTCATGAAGCTGTTGGCGAGCTCGTGCTTGTGAACAAAGCCACTCAGCTTGCTGCCCTGGTGAGGGGCATTGCCCATAGCCTTGTCGTAGTTTCCGACAATAGCCTGAGTGACGAGAGCGGTGAAGTAGTCGTCGGAGCTCCAGCTAACACCCTCAACGGCAAGGGCAACGTTGGCAGTAGGCATGGTGTCATCGCGGACACGGACGTCGGAACCGATGAAATCAGCCTTCTTCTTGGACAGGAGGTAGGCCTGGTTCTCAGGGCCCTTGCTGGGGAGACCAGAGAAGTGCTTCTCGGCCAACTCAACGAGCTGCTCGTGGGGAACACCACCAGCACCAACCAGAACCATGCGGTCAGCGGTGTAGTTGTTCTTGATGTAGTTCACGAGTTCGGTGCGGGTGATGTCGCGGATGTTCTCGCGGGGGCCGAGGATGGTACGGCCCAAAGGCTGCTGCTGGAAAGCGGTAGCATGAAGGTGGTCAAAGACAACCTCCTCAACCTGCTTCTCGACCTCCTCGGACTCTCGGAGGATAACGTCACGCTCACGCTCAATAGCAGAGTCCTCGAGCTTGGAGTTCTGGAGGATGTCGGAGAGAATGTCGACGAATTGTGGAACATCGGAGTTGAAGGCCTTGGCGAAGTAAACGGTGTTTTCACGCTGCATTGAACGGTTAGTGATCCTCTCCCAGTCCATGAGTTTTAACGAGTAATCGGCGACTGACAGAGGTGTAGGCGTTGAGGTGGCCACCGAGGTTCTCAACCTCAAGTTCCAACTGGTGCTGAGTTCGCTTGGAAGTTCCCTAGGTGGATTCGTCAGTCGAGAGTCGTCGTTGAAGAATTTCGTCGGCACGGTCTACCTTGAAAGCGAGATGCTCGAGGAAGTGCGCGGTGCCGCTGGTCTCGTCGGTCTCGGCTCGCGAACCGGCGTCAATCCAGACACCGACAGTCGAGGTCTGAGCCCATGGCGAGTACTCGGTCGCAACCTATAAATGAAGGCAAATACATCAGTACTTTGATTTACCAGGGCTACAGGAGCCAATTGGCTCCTCGCAATTGCAGCTTACCGTGAGTCCGTTCTTCAGGGTCGTGGTCTGAGTCTTGCCGACGGCCGAGGGGGTAGCGAAGCCTCGTCGGAGGGAATTGGCGGCAGAGAAACCGGCGCGGTTTCGCACACCCTGTGAAAGGTTCAATGCTAGTCTCCGTGACGCCATGGCGGAGGTTTGGGGGGGTTGACGAGGGATTGAGTTGTTTGATGAAATCTTTCCTCCATGCTCGGCTAGAAGCTTTCCTGAGGTAATTTGCAGCCTTGGAGCTGAGGCCAAAAGAGCTTAGTCATCCCGGTCAGCTCCGAACTCCAGCCAACCAGAAGGGCGCGAAAAATAATCGTGCGCCAGGCCACTAAAAAAGGTGCCGTGTCTCCGGAAACAAACAACGACGGAACATTATATGGGCGACACACCGAGCTCGACCACCATGAAGCCTTCTCTAAGGCAATATAGATCACAACGAGTATTTCCATTATACAGCTGGGCTCGACTTACTGGGGCTTACCATAGACCAATTCGGTGAGATTATCCGGTATTGAGGCTTCTACATACGATCATATCATTTAAGTATCAAAGCGTAATGGGGTTCATGTCTCACCCACTTCTTCTCTCAACTTTTACCGTTCATCCTCCTCATTTTCAGTCCTCAAGATTTTTACCGGGAGATATGCCCTACATTGATTTAATTCCAACATACCAGGAGATGCAGTATCAACACGCACTTGCACCTTTGGCACACTCTACCTCTTATTGGTGTGCTACTACTGCAATGACTCAGCACATTCCCCTCATGTGCCCGGTGTTTCTTGGGCAGCAACATCTCGTTGTCCACGTGCTCTACCCTCTTTGAATCAACATGACTGTAGATCTTCCATCATTTTTCTCATTAATTTATAAAAATAGACGTATTCCACAGATTTTTCTTTCATCTTGAGCCACTAAATCGATACTATTTCTCCAGCCCTCTCTCTAATTATCTAGGTGCTCAACGTCAAGGTTGTCTGATAAAGAACCCCTATACCAACGGTGTCTGAAAACATGGCTGGATATGACGATGATTTCGACGCTGTATACATACCCAGAGCTGGGGCTTCTCCAGACAAAGAAGATCACAATAGCGTGAAGCCCATTATTCAAACCTACCCTCCTCTAGGGCAAGCCACTCCCGTTGGAGATGGCCATATCAACATCCGTCTTGTGCTTCAGACATCTTCTCATGATGAAAAAGAAGACCAATGGGAAGTCTTGCTTTGGCACTCGGTTGATGAATCAGGCTGGTCCGAAGCCCCATTTTACCAAGTTGACAAACACAACGAGCCGCATATTCTACAAGATGTCTCAGTCCAGAGGATCAACCGTTTTTATGAAGTCCCTGTGGATTTTCAGCGCTCACTGAAATTCACGCTGAAGTTCCGTCAGAATCTCCGGTCGCCATGGGTCTGGGTGCGTGATGAGCATGGATTCGATGATGGGATCATCGTCCGACAAGTTACCCAACCCCAGTCCAAGGACCTTGGCGATTTCCTCGGTGATTTGAACCCAGAATGGAAAGTTACAGGATGTCTAAGTGAATCTCCCGGAACTCAGCTATGGTCACTCAAAGTTAGTATTCCGTTGGCTAGAGATGACGTGTCTGGTACAAGGAGCATTCGAATTGCTTCCCCTCCGGCCTCATTCCTTAGGTGAGGAGATCAAATATGCTGTATAGCCTCTGGCTAGATTTGCACAGCTGACATACTAATCTACGAATAGGTGGTTCGCCTTGGTTCGGCAGAAAGCTCCTTGGATAGCGCCCCGTCAGGGCCGAGGCCAACTCGCTTTACAAGAAGATGCCGTCTTATGTGCCTTCCTCGGATCGGATGGTAGGCATGTAGTCTTTCTCGCAGTAAGCTCAGTGGACAATGTCACTGCTGTGTTACAGTCGGATTCGGACGGTGCCCTCTTGGCCTATGTAAGAAGACCCGGATTCATTCATCATTTGCATTCATTTCAAATGTGATACTAAGACCTATTAGGGCCGGAGCGATGCAGATGCAGATCATCCTAAAAGCGAATGCACAATTTTGGTTGCTGAAGGCATAGATTTTAACCATGCGGTAGCTGCAGTTACATACTACTCTAGAAAGCTTAGATCACAACCATACACAGCCTCGGAAAAGGAGACGAAAACTGGTGACGAAGTTAACACACAATGGTACCAAAAATGGAACGATGGCCTTGGATATTGTAAGTCTGCTTTTATCCCTACGGAAACCTTCTCAGATATACCTAACCGGCAACGTCAGGCACCTGGAACAGCTTGGGCCAAGATTTAACTGAAAATACCATTTTGAATGCCCTGGATGATTTAGCCCGCAATGACATCAACATCTCGACTCTGATTATAGATGATAATTGGCAATCAATCGATGCTGAGGGAGCCAACCCTTTCCAGCGAAGCCTCCTCGAATTCGAGGCCAATACAGCAGGGTTTCCGGATGGCCTAAAGGCCACCGTCTCACGGATCAAAAAGAACCACCCCAATATCCTTCATATAGGTGTATGGCATGCTTTGTTAGGCTATTGGGGAGGTATCTCTCCAAAGGGAAAGCTCGCCAAATCATATCAAACGATCGAGCTCGACAGTGAACGATCAGGACGTGTCGACTTGCCTCTCAAAGACAAAATCACGGCCGTTTCCAAAGACGACGTGGGCAGATTTTACAAGGACTTTTATGCATTTCTCGAAGATGCAGGGATTACAGCAGTCAAAACCGACGCTCAGTTCATGGTGGACAATTGGTCGAGCGCCTCAGCCCGAAGGGAGCTCCTCAACGAGTACTTCGATGCCTGGATCATTGCGTCCCTCATTCATTTTAGCATGGACGTTGTATCGTGCATGTCGCTATTTCCACAGGCAGTTTTCTATTCCCAGTTGCAGCCCACCAGGCCATCTTTTCGGGTTCGTACTTCTGATGATTTCTTCCCTCACATTCTTGACTCGCATGCTTGGCATGTCTGGGCCAACGCGCAAAATTGCATATTCATGCAGTATTTGAATATCATTCCGGACTGGGACATGTTTCAAAGTGTCGGGGACTATGCCGGCTTCCACGCTGCTGCAAGATGTGTTAGTGGTGGCCCGGTATACATCACCGATGTTCCTGGCAAACACGACTTGGAGCTGCTCAAGCAGATCGCAGCGACCAATCCGTTAGGACGGAGCACCGTTTTCCGACCAAGTGTTGTTGGAAGATCTCTTCTCCCCTTTGCTGGGTACAAGGATGGGTTGTTTCTACAAATCGGAAGCTACCATGGTAATAATTCTCCCGGAACGCCTTGAGCTAGCTACTCGACATGCTGATCGTATCGATATAGGGGCATCCGGAACAGGAACTTCAATCTTGGGTACATTTAACGTATCAGATCGCGCATTGACCGAATTGATTCCACTATCCATCTTCCCAGGAGTCACCAGTTCGACGCATTATGTAGTCAGAGCTCATAGTACAGGGCGAGTCACAGCACCCATCAGCCCAAACACTGCACAAGAGTTTGTTGCCTGCTCCCTCGATGTGCAGGGTTACGAAATCTTCTCAGCATTCCCCTTGGTAGCTATCCAAAGCAACAAGTATGGAGAAGTGTTGATTGCGAATCTCGGACTCTTGGGGAAGATGACAGGTTGTGCTGCAGTTATTTCCAATCGCATCGAAAGAAGGTCGAACGGGAGGTTGCTCATTGATACAAATATAACAGCTTTTGGAGTTTTGGGTAAGACATACCAAGTTATCTTTTCACCACGTGGCTCAGTCTAATGTCTTCTCCTCAGGCCTATATGTCTCAACTCTTCGAAGAATGACAATTGACGATTTCATGGTGACAATTCAGGAGAAGCCCATTCCACCAAGCACCGTGAGGATGTCGGCAGTCAGCGATTTCGTTCTAGAAATAGATGTAGAGAGAGCCTTCAAAGAAATGAAGCTCGACACTCAGTGGTACAACGAAGTTGAGGTGAAGATATACTTCCCGACTTAGACAGCGGGCCTTAGATAGGGTGAAAGGGCGTAGGCGACGCAACCAAATATTCACGCTTTCTAATTCTCATAATCATCAACCACCTCGAGTAATCAACTATTCAATCTTCTTTATTTTCTAGTTTTAGGATGCTGTCAGAATGCATCTGATACCAGCGCAGGTTTTTGTGGGGCCTGAAGCCTGGGCATTTATAGTAAGACATTCAGCACTGACTTATCGATACGGAAGGGGCCAAGCCATCATCAATCATCAGGAGCATCTTCATGTCCTCTACACCAACCAATCTAGCGTCTAATCGGCTAGGATCTTACCATCAAATACCTGCCCAAGATGAACGTCGATTTATCCGAATTTGCATCTCTGGATGAAGGCGAGTGAAGCTCAATCGCCAACGCATGTACGTCGCGAACCATACTGACCACCTGTTCCGAGCAGTCGACTATGACCCGATTGACCACCTCAACCTTCTCTTTTCACACCCCTCGACCGTCTCCTCGATCAGTAAAGTTTCGCAGACTCTGAAACATAGGCAACATGAGCTGCAAGAAGACATCGACCGGCGAGAGACCCAACAGGCCTACCAGCCCAACTCGAGCCTGGAACGGATGCAGTCAGCCCAAGCCGAGCTTGCCCAGCTCTTCCGCAAGATCGAGATGGTCCGCACACGTGCAGTCGAGACCGAGCAGAGCATCACCTCCATGACAGCAGACATCAAGAGACTCGACGGCACTAAGCGAAACCTGACCCTCAGCATGACGGCGCTGAAGCGACTCCAGATGCTAACGACTGCATACGAACAGCTTCGAGGGCTAGCGAACACAAGGCAATACCGAGAATGCGCGGGCCTTTTACAGGCAGTCTTGCAGCTCATCAAGCACTTTAACAGCTATAGGAGTATCGAGCAAATCGCAACTCTTAGTCGCGAAGTGTCAGACTTGCAGCGAGAGTTGCTAGCTCAGGTGTGCGATGACTTCGAACTGGCATTTACAAAGGGAGAAGTAGCTTCGCGCAAGGCAATGCTCACGGAAGCCGCACTGGTTATCGATGCTCTCGGCGAAACAGCAAAGGGAAGACTAATGACCTGGTATGTCAACACCGAGCTCCGAGAATACCGACAAGTCTTCCGGAGCAGCGATGAGGCTGGGAGCTTGGACAACATTGGGCGTCGTTATTCGTGGTTCAAACGGTTGATGAAGACTCACGATGATGAGCACGCTTCCATTTTCCCTTCGCACTGGAAGGCAAACGAGCTACTAGCGACCGCTTTTTGTGAGGGCACGCGTGAGGATTTTAAGGGTATTCTGGAACGGAGCATGCGACGGACGGATGGCCAAAAGATCGACGTCAATCTGCTGCTGAGCTGTCTGCAAGAGACCTTGAACTTCGAACAAAACTTAGAGAAGCGGTTTTCTGACGGACCTCGAGCAAGCATCGATACTCTGAGCTCTACTGATGAGCGCCCACATAACTTCAACGGCCAAATTTCCGTTGCTTTCGAACCCTATCTCAGCTTATGGGTTGAATCTCAGGATAAACAGCTGGCGACAATGATTCCGAGATATCGCAACCAACCACTCATCCCACCAGACGAGGAATTCACTGCCCAAGCGATCATTCCCTCAGCAATCGAGCTCTTCCACTTTTACAAACTCACTCTGTCTCAGTGTGCGAAACTATCTACCAGCGATCGCTTATTTGATCTCTCAAAGATTCTTTCACGGTACCTCGACGAATATGCGCAGCAAGTGCTCCTCCACATCTTACAAGTTGCGCCCCAGAGTAGCTTGTCTGTTCAAGATACGATTCTAGTCCTCAACACGGCAGACTTCTGGCATGTCAACACAAACCAGCTGGAGGATAACATCAAGAAGAGGATCGATCCAGACCTCGTGTCCAAGGTTGATCTTTCATCCCAGGCCGATGCCTTCCTTGGGGTGGCGAGAACGGCGGTATTGGCACTCGTCCAGCATGTTGCGCTGGAATGTGAGAGCGTATGGCGAGAGATGAAGAACACTAACTGGAGTACTATGGAGAGTGCGGGCGATCAGAGCGCTTGGGTTGGGGAGCTTGTGAAACATGTGAGCAGCAAGGTGCAGGATGTCCTCGCGCTCGTCACAAAGCAACAATACGCGAGAGCGTTCTGTGACAACCTCGTGGAGCATTTGGCCTCAAGCTTCATCAACAGCATCGTTCAATGCCGACCTATCTCCGAGGTTGGTGCTGAGCAGGTAAGGGTTCCTCCAATTGTGGCTGTTCTCGTTACGAGGGGCTAGGCTAAGATGATTACAGATGCTGGTTGACAAATACGCCTTGACCAAGGAATTTGGTGGTTTAATCCTTCACCACAACCCAACGCAGCCCGCCCAGGCGCCCCCAGCAAGCTACACCAGAAGAGTTGAGCACTGCATGAATCGCATGGACCCGCTGCTCAAGACCCTGCAGGTCCGCTCGTCGCCTCCTGAGGGTCTTGTACAGGCCTACCTAATCCACATTGCAGATCGGTCTGAGACAAACTTCAAAAAGATATTGGACCTCAAGGGGGTCAGGAAGCAGGACTATAGCCATCTTCTCGAACTATTTGCCATCCACAGAGACAGCAGCTCGAACAGCAAACTCGTAGCCTCCTCGGCCCTCCTGACACCACTGATGTCCGGCACCGGTGGCGGTAATGGTGGCCTTGGGGTCATGCACATGCCACTGGGCTCAACATCACCGAGGTTTGACACCGGGTCGCTCGGTGAGAAATTGCTCAGTGCGGCAAGAGACATCGGAGCCGGTGGTCAGGTTGGACAAGGAGGAGACAAAACCAACATCAACGAGAACTTGCGCAATTTGGGCAAGTTCTTCAAGAGAGATATCGGCGGGCTAGGGGTACGCTTTGGGAAACGGGACGGGAGCCTAGGCGAAGATGGGATGCGGTGATCTACTCAGACAGCCAGCCATTGTCTCTACTGTATCACCGCTTGTACATACCTATATTCATATTACTATTACTGCAAGGGCATCCAGCGTGAGTCACTCTCAGCCTGGCAAGTCCCCTCTGCACTGTTCACATCCCCAGGATGACCAATCCATCAGTTTCAGTCCAAAGGCGCCTTGTGACCTATTCCAAATACCTACCTACATACGCCGCCTTATCAGATGTGATTAGTCAGTGGTCTCTGCTCCGGGGTGCCCGTTCCGAAGCAGTGGAGCGTCGTATTGCGCGTGCTTTTCGATTCGTTTGCATCACAGCTTCTAGGCCAAGCCAAGCGTTGGGAGAGCGACAAAACCCGCCCACTGCCGCCGCTAGACAATCCACCCGTATGCAAGCTTATAAATTCTCTAGTCCAATCGCATTGCAGCATCCGCACGACCCCTGGAGGTTCCCTCGAGTTCTTTTCACTGCCACCCTTTTTTGAGCCCCTCCACCGTAAAGCCGATATCGTCCTCGCTCCCCGAACCTCCAGGACCCCGCCACACCGTGAAGAAAAACGGCCTGCCTATCTTTAAGCTATATAAACAACACAACCGCCAAGCTGTTCGCCTCAGCATTCCGACGGACGCTTCGCTCGAGCGTTGGGTTACCGATTGCAGCCATCGCGACTTTTGCTCAGAAACCATCCGTCCAGCACACAAATCTAGGAATCAGAAAGATGCACTCAAAAGTTGTCGGTACGTTGTCGCATGTGCTTCAGCTCCACCAAACGCGAAATCCCCTCCAGCTCTCTCTGCTGAATTGGGAGCTGTCGCCGTGGCAGAGAAACCGCTCTTCAGTCCGAATTGATTCATAAGCTAACTCGTCTCGTGTCCTAGTCATCGGCTCGGGCCCTGCTGCCCACACCGCCGCAATCTACCTCTCCAGAGCCGAGCTGAAGCGTGAGAACCTATAAAAAACACCCCGCGCGAGAACGACGAAATACTAAAACTTGTTCCTAGCCGTCCTGTATGAGGGTTTCATGGCCAATGGCACCGCCGCCGGTGGCCAGCTCACTACCACAACCGAAGTCGAGAACTTCCCCGGTTTCCCCAAGGGAATCATGGGACAGGCCTTGATGGTAAGTCTACACGCCTCTTGAGACGAGCCCAACACGCACAATTGGGAACACCACTGACAATCCACCCTCCCAGGACGACATGCGCGCCCAATCCGAGCGTTTCGGAACCGAGATCGTCACCGACACCGTCACCAAGCTCGACCTCTCCTCGCGGCCCTTCAAGTACTCGACCGAGTTCAACCCCGACGAAACCCACACCGCCGACACCGTCATCCTCGCCACGGGAGCCTCGGCCCGCCGCCTCAACCTCCCCGGCGAGGACAAGTACTGGCAGAACGGCGTGTCCGCCTGCGCCGTCTGCGACGGCGCCGTCCCCATCTTCCGCAACAAGCCCCTCTTCGTCATCGGCGGCGGCGACTCGGCCGCCGAGGAGGCCCTCTTCCTCACAAAGTACGCCAGCCACGTCAACGTCCTCGTGCGCCGCGACGTCCTCCGCGCCAGCAAGACCATGGCCAACCGCCTGCTGGCCAACAAGAACGTCACCGTCCACTTCAACTCGGTCGGCAAGGAGATCCGCGGCGGGGACGACGGGCTCATGAGCCACCTCGTCGTGAAGAACGTCGCCACGGGTGAGGAGAAGGTCCACGAGGCCAACGGCCTCTTCTACGCCATCGGCCACGACCCCGCCACCGCCCTCGTCAAGGGCCAGCTGGACGTGGACGAGGATGGCTACGTCATCACAAAGCCCGGCACCACCGAGACGAGCATCGAGGGTGTGTTCGCTGCCGGTGATGTCCAGGACAAGCGATATCGCCAGGCCATCACGAGTGCTGGTGAGTTTTTATCCCTCCCGGTCCCATACTTGATTCTTTGCGGGACGTTTCTTACTAACTGTTTTCTCCACAGGCACTGGTTGTATGGCTGCCTTGGAGGCAGAGAAGTACCTGGCTGAGAGGGAGGATGCGTGAGTAGATAATAGACTTCACTAGAGACAGAAAAGTAGAATGCCGAGTAACATAACTAGACATCAAGGCAGCACCCCATTCCAATACAGTAACAATTCAAGACTCTAGAAAAATACCATCAAGCGGAAGAGCGAAGATGTGTCATAAACTCATTTTGATATATTTCATTAATTAGATTTTTGCCTTTTTTTACTCATAGTGGTTCATAAACAACTGAGCACTTCAGTGGGAACCATACAAAACGTCGATACAATTCCATACCGTTCATTCCATATTTGCTGTTCGTCATCCTTTTAGAGCGACCAAGTCGCTTCGATTGTAAACTTACTGCTTCTCCAGTAGAGCAGTAGCTTCCACTGTGGTGCCCTTAAGTTTCTCCAGGCCCTCACCACCCTGTTTTCAAGTTGGTTAGTTCATCACGGTACCAAGTGGATATCGATATGTGGGAAGACTTACATAGCTGATCAGAGGCGAAACCTCGACACCACCGTCGTTGACAACGGTAGCACCGGCGGCTTGAAGCCAGCGCTTGCCCTGGTTCAAAATATCGGCCTTGCTGGTGTCGGGGTTATCCTCCTTAGTGCCACGGCCGTTCTTGAGGGGAGAGAACTCGTCCTCGCGGCGGACCTCAAGACAAGCAAACTTCTCAAGGCCGAGCTGAGGGAAAACGTCGAAGACGAACTGCTCAAGCTTGATGCCGTTGGGCTTCTCGGGCTTGACAGTCTCGCCGGAAGAGAGATCGGCGTAGGGAATCTTCTTGCGGGCAACGTGGTGGGGGAGCTTGTGAGCCCACAGGGGGATGGAGTCGAGGAAGCTGAAGGAGTAGTAATGGTTGACAATGTTGGCGGCACGGAACTTGAGAACATCAGGCTGCTTGGGATCGAGGGCCTCGGCGGTCTCAGAGTCGATCTCGGAATACTCGACGACGTCGGGGCGTCCGTTCTTGGAGAGAATGAGACCGACAGACTCGGTAGCGTTACGCTTGCGAACAACCTTGGTGGCAATGTCGACCTTCTTCTCGGCAGAGAACCCAATGAATACAGGATCGGCAACCTTGACAAGGCAGTTGTCGACACAGTAGGCGTGGATGTGCTCAATGCCACGCTTACGCATATCCTCGATCACACCGGAGACAACGAGGCCATTGTAGAGACCCCCATTGCCATCGGGGGCGACAGCGACCTTGGACTTGGATTCCAGGAGAATCTTCCCGTCATTGGAAATGCAAGGGAGAACACCCTGCTCGAAGATCTGGACATTGGCCTTGTCGAGGCCGAAGAAGTTGTTCTCCTCGAAGAAGGCGGTAGTAGGGCCACGGGTAGGTCCACTGGTCATGACATACCAAGGAACAGTGGCGTTGCCGGCGAGCTCCTGGATCTTGCGGATACGCTCGGCTTGGATCTGGAAGAGAGACTTCTGCGAAGGCAGGCCAATGTCGAAGCAGCCCTTAGGGGCGGAGCTACCAAGACGAGTGCCTTGGCCGCCAGCCATCAGGACAACAGCAACATTGTTCTGGCCAACCAGTTTAAGACCGGAGGCATACCAGCGGTCAATATCTGAGGCATCGGAGTCGAGGATACTGGCGGTGGCAGACTCGGGAAGAGGCTCAAGCTTGTCAGGAGTGTCGCTGGCCTTGGGAGGGTTGAGAGCACGCTGTGTGATTTCGTTGATGTAGTCGGGCTTGAAGCCGGACAGCTGCTCGAAGAGAGTGGCCTTCTCGGAATCGGCGAGGGAGTCGTAGAAGGTGAAAACCTGGTCCTGGCCAGCTGCAGTGTACTTGCTCTTGAGCTCGGCCACAGCCTCAGCGGAAGGAAGAGGAGCCATTGTGTGGAAGGGATTGGGTATCAAGGACAAGAAGAAAGCAAAGTGAAAGGATCCAATCTAGCTGGACCAAGTGGTGAAGACAAGAAGATGGACAGGTAGCAATTGAGCTGATGGCTTACGGTGAGGGGGGTTTAGGAATGAACGAAGCTGGCAGAAGACGGTGTGCAGCATGCCTAAATACTAGAGCGTCAAGCAGCAGAGCTGGAGGTCGGACTTGGACTAGGCCAGCTCTACCTTGGCCAGCTAGACTGGATAGCACAGGCAACACGAACTGATGGACTGCCCCTCACTGGCCTTAGCCCCTCCCAAGCTCCAGCCCCTCGTTCCATTGCACCCACTAGCGCATGTACGCCACTGAGACAGAGGTAGTGCCCGCCACCACCAGCACAGCTCTGGCCTATGACCGCCGCCAGGGGCTCCGGGGGGCTGACGTCGTGGCCGTGCAAGCCGTCGCAAGAGGTCAACTCCCTGTCTCTCACCGCAGGAACGAGCCCCTGTCTCACTCTCCCCCAGTACTTAAGGGGACAAAGCGGGAGCCAAGTGCCTAAACTATTTTTACCGCTCCCGAGCTCAAAGTCTCATTGAGGTATCTGCTTGGGTTGACCTCCTAGTGGCTGCAGTCATGATTGAGTAGGCGCATTCCTCGTTGCTATTCGAGTTGATTCCAAATCGCTTAGGTTCGACCAATTTTTCAAGTCAATCGGAGATCTGGATCGAGGCAGGGACCGATGGCAGTGTTGCATCTAGCCCAATGCGTGCTATTTACGGGTGTTGACAAACCACCAAATACGAGGAGCCTGATACAGTGCCATTATGCTCGTCTCAGGTCAGCAATAAGTTCAGAATACGGGTACTGGCTTATTGATTCTATGCAATTCCATTGACAGCAGGCGGCCATGCCTCTGTGTATGCATCTCCCGCGTCATTACCACCAATGTCCAGCAATTCACAGCTGCTCCGCCCGCAGCAGTACTACGGAAGTGATGGCTTGCGAGATACCCACCAATGTTGGGCTGAAACGCAGCCACATTGCCGTGGCCATCAACTTGTTTGGGTGTCTCAACAGCATTCCCCGCCTACAAATCTGTTGAGAAAGTGACTTCACGTGCCGCCTCCATGTCACTCTGCTGCTGCTCAATCTTTGCTGTTATTCTGTCATGTGCATCTTTGCCCAGAACCAGCCTTAAAATCTTGCCCTTCAGTGGCCCACCTTGTCCCTCTCCCACAATGACCTCAAACATCCTCTCGGCTGCCTTCACTGGGTCGCCAATTTGTTTCCCTGCTGCTGCCTTGAACCTGTCAAGTGCCTGGTCTGCCGTAGTGCCCTTGTACGCTTCTGGTATACCGTTCTCGCTGGCCTTCATAGCATGGAGGAAGTTGGTCCGGAAAGCACCCGGTTCGACGATGAGGGTCGAGATGCCAAACTCAGATATCTCCTTAGACAGTGCTTCGCTGAAGCCTTCCAGACTGAACTTGCTATCCGCGTAGAGGCTGCATGTAGGAGTACCAACTTGACCACCATTACTGCTCACACTGACGATCGTGCCAGAGCGGCGGGATCGCATGCCTGGTAGGATGGCTTGAGTTAAATAGAATGTCCCAAATACGTTGGTCTGGAATAGCTGAGTGATCTCTATCTCACTGTAAGTTTCTTCAGTTAGCTGAATTCCAGTCGCAAGGTGTAGTGCATGTCCTCCTGACTGAGCCTACTACACACCTAAAAGTCTCGGCCGGACCGAAGACGGAGTATCCAGCGTTGTTGACCAGAACATCAATTCTGCCATAGATAGCTTCAGCTGTCTCAATAGCCTTAAATATCTCGCATTGAGGTCTAGATACATCGAGTTGGAAGACCTTCCCACCGGCTGCTTCGACAGATTTGGCGGTCTCTGCAGAGCGCGTTGGATTTCGCATTGCGGCGATGACATTGTGCCCAGACTTCAAAGCATGTAGAGCCAGAGTGAGGCCAAGGCCATTTTATGCGCCAGTAATAAGCCAGACAGATGTCATCTTTGTTACTGTGATTGAGCAAGCGGATGTGATATGGGGAGATACAATAGCACCGATGATGGTTGTCATTCGTATTAATAGTGGCTGCCGATCCTTAGATACGATCCTATTGACTTCTTCGAGCTCCTGACGTTCCACTATCTAACTAGGGTCGCACAAATCCAAGTAAAAGGAGTGATGACAGATCTACCAGATTTGGACGTAACTACCACGTTAGTACCTTTTCAGTAGTAGGTCGCCCTGCATAGTTTACGCAAAGATAAACGTTTGAGCCCTGGGCTAGTAACTGGACAGAGGCTGGTTGCGAGCAAACTCCCACCGAGAGAGAGCCAAGGTCAGGTATTTATCTCCTTCCAAGCTCCACCCCAGAGATAAACCTGTTCGCAAATGATATATCTCCTTGAACACCTTTCAGACAGACCACGACTGCCTAGTTTCGGCCTCAAGAATCATAAAATTTTAAAGTACCTGCTGAGGTCATATAGAATCGTGCAAGAAGAACCAGGAGAATCTGTATGTGGATACTTGTATTCAGCCAACGTCAAACCTCTTATCATTCTCCCTGTTTCGGTTTGTTGGAAATTCATTCGCCAACATCGTTTCGTTTAGAGTGTATGATTTCTATCCGATATGATACAAGCTGCTTCTTAGAGCGTGTGCAATTCGCATCACGCTGACTCGCTTGGATAATAGGACAGATAAGACTGCCTTGGACAGTGATACATATACCTAATCTCAACTCACTCCCTTCTGTCCATTCTTCGGTGCTTTTTTTTGGTTTCTTTAACCTATAGAACCGGCGTTGAGTTGATGGATCATATTTGGTGAACGAGCTAACCTTAGCTAATAGGACCCTCCACCCCAAATTTATCATGGAGAAAAAGTACGTATTTAAGGTCATCAGTGTTATGAATATGATATGGCGGATAATATGTCATTTCTCTGAGAAATGGTTCCCAACAGCCACAGTGGCATCTTGCCGTCCGCGTTAAGCAGAAGATCTAATAGTCGAAAGTGGTCATTTGACGCCCAGGGGATATGCTGATTTCTGCGCTTGAGCCTGTAGATATTTGAACAAGAATAAACAAGAGCCAAATTTCCCAAGGCGAACCCTACCGAAACATCTATCCTCGTCTTCCAAGGCTGAGAAACAGGAGTTGGTAGCTTTGTCATCGGCAGGGTTTGCTGACGAGCGTTACTCTCATCCAATCCATTTTGGGTTATCAGCTAATCGCCGAATGGGTCTGACAGGGTACTTCCATCCTGGCAGCACACTCATATAAATACCAAGTACCTCCAGTGTCCACATTTGACAGATAACGATAAGCCCCGCGCTTGCGGAACCGTCCCATCCTGCTATAAAAAAATTTTGGTGGTCTCCTCCCACCTTTTTTTTTTCCTTTCTCTTACGGGAAGAAGCGCCGTATCAATTCCAGCAGTCAAATTGGATTAAACCTCTCCATTTAGGTTCTAACTCTCTCTCTGACTGCTCGCCTTCGACCTCAATTCACCCCTCCTTTTGTTGTTATCCTCTTTCTGCCAAAATCCGTCCGAAATGGCTGCCAAGGTTCTCGACTACAGCACCGCCCTTGACGTGCTCAAGGAGTACAAGTCCAGAGATGGACTCGACATCCACGAGCTCATGGACACAGCCAAGCATGGTGGTCTCACCTACAATGACTTCCTGCTGCTGCCTGGCTACATTGGCTTCCCTGCCTCCGCCGTTGTGCTTGATTCGCCCGTCACCAAGCGAATCACCCTCAAGACTCCTTTCGTGTCCTCCCCCATGGACACAGTTACTGAGCACGAGATGGCCATTCACATGGCTCTCCAAGGCGGTCTCGGTGTGATTCACCACAACTGCTCCCCCGAGGCTCAGGCCGACATGGTCCGCAAGGTCAAGCGTTACGAGAACGGTTTCATCGCAGACCCCGTCGTCATCGACCGCAACACCACTGTCGGCGAGGCCAAACTGCTTAAGGAGAAGTGGGGTTTCGGTGGTTTCCCTGTCACAGGTAAGGATTTTTACTCTCCTTACTTCGAATTCCAGGTCAACGGACGCCTCGGCGTCTTCACATGATTAAACACCCATTATTTTTAACTTTCGTTCCACCGTATAGACTCACGTCATGGGGACTACCATATTGCATGAACTTTTCCTTTCCTTCTGGATATATCATCATCTCTCACCTCAACAGAGGCTCTGAACCATGGCTAACATTGGACTTCAAAGAATCCGGCAAGCTGGGCTCCAAGCTCCTTGGTATTGTTACCAACCGTGATATCCAGTTCGAGGACGATGCTAGCGTCCCCGTGTCCGAAGTCATGGTGACCGATCTCATCACGGCCCAGGCTGGTGTCAACCTGCAGGAGGCAAACAAGATCCTCGCCAAGTCCAAGAAGGGCAAGCTCCCCATCGTTGACTCGGACGGCAACCTCGTTTCCATGATTTCCCGCTCCGACTTGAACAAGAACCAGGACTTCCCTTTCGCCTCCAAGCTTCCCGATAGCAAGCAGCTCATCTGCGCTGCTGCTATTGGCACTCGCCCTGAGGATAAGCTCCGTCTCAGGGGCCTGGTTGAAGCTGGTCTCGATGTCGTCATCCTTGACAGCTCCCAGGGTAACAGCATGTACCAGATCGAGATGATCAAGTGGTGCAAGGCCGAATTCCCTGGCCTTGATGTCATCGGTGGAAACGTTGTCACTCGCGAGCAGGCTGCCGGCCTCATCGCCGCCGGTGCTGATGGTCTGCGAATTGGAATGGGCAGTGGCTCTGCTTGCATTACCCAGGAAGTCATGGCAGTTGGCCGTCCCCAGGCCGCCGCCGTCTACAGCGTCAGCTCTTTCGCTGCTCGCTTTGGCGTTCCTTGCATCGCCGACGGTGGTGTCCAGAACGTTGGACACATTGTCAAGGGTCTTGCCCTTGGCGCCTCCACCGTCATGATGGGTGGTCTCTTGGCTGGTACCACTGAGTCTCCCGGAACTTCCTTCGTGTCCCGTGAAGGAAAGCTGGTCAAGGCCTACCGTGGCATGGGCAGCATTGATGCCATGCAGGACAAGAAGGCCGGCGGTGGCGGCAAAGACAGCCAGAAGAGCAACGCTGGTACCGCCCGCTACTTCTCCGAGGGTGACAGCGTCCTCGTTGCTCAGGGTGTTTCCGGTGCCGTGGCCCACCGAGGGTACGTCGACCCCTCCCCTCTAATCAGTTTTTGTTTTGCTAACTTTGACATCCCCTTAGATCTATCAACAAATTCGTTCCTTACCTTGCCGCTGGTCTCAAGCACTCCATGCAGGACTGCGGCATGACCAGCCTGGCGGAGCTTCACCAGAGCGCTGAGGACGGCATCCTTCGCTTCGAGATCCGTACTGCCAGCGCCCAGCTGGAGGGCAACGTCAACATGGAGTCTTACGAGAAGAAGCTTTACGCATAATGATTTCTGAGGAAAGCAAAAAAATCGGTGTTTGCGATTTGATTTCAATATATTAACGAGTTGGGATGAGAGCATGAACAGGGGCGAGATCTAACGGATTATAAGTTAAAAAGTTAGCCGGGACTGAAAATTGACTTATTCAGGAGTTGTTTGGGTATATCGTGATCCCCGCAAGAGATAGAGGGAGATCACCGGGGTGTCTGGGTGTTATTAGTCGTTAGAAATTCTTAAGCCTTAAACAATGGAAGAGCGCCTCACGGCGTCATGCTGCCGCACTTTTGTGGGGTCTATGCTGTCAAATGAATCTCTGCCAAAATTTCGGATGACTCTGTTGAACAATTGAAGCTGAAAAATTACTTGGAGCATGCACACCGCCAGTTACTGTCGTCGTCATGCCCACAAGGCTGGCTAGCTGCAGCATTAGATCTAGCTAGCTGCATGAGCTCGACAGTACGCAGGTAGATCGCCTGAGACACATCTCAGCCAAGAAAGCCAAAGTCAACTTCTATGTCATAGTCAAGGGTCCATCCAGCTGAGGGATTACAGCCTGATTCGCCCCTAATCGTGCGCATCTCGAACGGCATCACTTCGAGGTTTGAACAGAGAGCTCCAGGATAAAGATTTATTACTCTTCTACTGAAGCTCGGTCAAATCCAAATCGTGAGAATGGGATCAGCTCCAATAAATTCAGAACAGAAAATTAATTTAATAGATACATTCGATCCTATTAGAATCAACTACTAACTTTATCGGAAACTGGAACGTATCCGTCTCATTTCCGTATCTTTTCATGAAACGAAATTGGTATCCATGGCTTAAAATAACATGTGTAAATCAAAGATGCGATCCAGCAAAAAATGATGCCGCTGAAAATGCAGAAATCCCGACATGAGATTCCAGTCGTGCAGCTCCTCACGTTCCCACTTTCCCATTCTTGTATGGGGGGGTCACACTAACTTGGCAGGCATCGACGGGGCGCATGTCGCTTTTTAATCATGTAGGTGACACAAAAGCCACCGAATATTACTAGTTTGAAGGCGACAAATTTCATTCAGGCATAATCATGGCGTTGGGCTGGGGCTTGTAGCCAGTCTTGTCGACATTCTCCGTTCCCTTCTCGTTGCGATGGGCGATCTCGGAGTCGTGCTGCTTGAGGGCACAGCAGGAGCAGAAGTATGAGGTGGCGCAGTCCTTTCCATTGCTTCCCTCAATACCGTACTTCTCACGAATAAGGAGGCGGGTGTGGTAAATTTGGCTGCAGGAGGAGAAAGGTTAGCGGAGGTCTATTGCTTCCAGTCCCAAGTACACGAGACATACTGGCAGCCGATGCATGGGGCGATCCAGAAGGACTTGTTGAAGCAACTTTTGCATTCTTCGTTTGTGCCGTCGTAGTTGTGAAGCTCCGGATTGCGAAGACGCTCGTGGGCACGTCCATATACTTCAATTGGATGATGAGCGTCAGCGATGAGTGTCAGCCTGGGGTTGTGATGGCTTCTGACATACAGTAGTGGGCCTTGCAGCAGGTCTCCACGGGGTTGCACGAGGCAAATAGAGAAAAAGTCCAGCCAGAGGCCATTGTAGAGTCTGATGCTGTATATTTTTATGAGATCTAAGGTCAATTAGAAAAGATAAAGAAACAATTACAAGCAGGCAATATTACTTGGATCGTTGGAAGGCTTGCTGTAGAGGAAGTACAGAATTATAGAGGAAAGCATGTGAACGAAGACAGCGGGAGAGCCTCTATTAATATTGCACGTCTCAGACAGAAACTATTGAAATATGCCTAGCCACTACCTTGGTGCCCTCCTTATGCACAGAGGTGGTAGAACTCTCCAGGATCTACAGAGCGACGTCGGTTTAAGCCAGGGTTAGGCCCAACGCTGCGTCAATGCTCGAGATCTTTAAGGCAGGGCGCCGGTCAATACCACCCGTTTTAGGCAAGTATGCAAACATTATCCACTAAATAATCTGCCGGGGCGGGCGATACCCTCGACTGCTTTATTAAGATTGTGATGGCGATGCTGCAGCCACATGGCCTCCATTGGTCAATCAGCAGCCCTTCATCATCTGGGATTGGTTCCCTCCAAGCTCTCATTCCCAACGCAATGAGGCAGGGTAAATGGAGTGTGGATCGAATTCATGATGGATGTTCACGGCAAGCCCCGCTGTGTTTACTCGGGATCCCCTGACTGATCAAGATTCTTCCTCCAACACTCATTGAAACTATCGCTTCATGGGAATGCTATGCTGCCAAACATGAATCTATGCAAAATGCATTGCCAGCCTTGCTCTTCATCTCAAGCATGGGCTTAGATGTCCCGCCTCCGTTCCTTATCCTTATCTTTTGTTCGGTGGCTCAGGATTACATAATCTGACGTCACCACCTTTCCTCCTCTCAGTTTTCTGTCTCTTGGCGAAGACTCGTCCAGGTCAAAGCCCATCTTCCCATAGAAGCGTCTTGCGCGCTCATTGCTAACAAAGCAGGTGAGCATCACCTTCCCTACGCTAGGGATATTATCGGCAATCACCCTCGCATATTCCATCAGGAGCCTCCCGAGGCGGGTCCTGTTAGGTCATCAGTCAGTGTGTGCGTCAGGGGTGCAAGGCTTGGGAAGCCATCCAATCGATTCCCGGGGATTCAGCCCTGAAAAACGATGTTTTTAACATTTCCCCATTGGGAAATCTGTCCTGCCACTCACCCTTGAAGCTCTGTTTCCAGGTGCACCTCATACACATACACCACTGGCTCGGCATTCTCGATCGTTGGCATGATGGACATGAACCCTCGGATCCCGGTGTCATCATTCCCTTCCCCGGGGTTGGTCTGGATGAGAATGTACCGCAGACCCGGTGACCGCATCTCTTTTCTTTTTGCCGCAGGATGCCATCCGGACGACGAGTTGCGATAGTCCTCTCCACTCGTCTTCTCAATCAGGTTATAGCACGTTTCTAACTCGGCGTCAGTGAGACGCGCCACGCCAAGTAGGTTCAACGTGTATTTCTTTTCCGAGGTGGGATGAGTCCATTGGGTCCAGTTCTCGCTAGGTGTAGAAGAGGAAGCACTTAGCCCACGCCTAAACAGCCCGTAAGAAGATGAGAGCTTTCCAACTCACCTTGGACGCAAATACTCTTCAACGAACTCCGCATCTGTCTTCTCATTGGCAATCTCAAGATGGTTGACCTTGGGCGTTGATCTCGTTTTCCTCGGGCCGCGCTGAGACGTAGATCCCGCGCTAGACATGACGGCAACCTTTTGCTGAGCCAGATATAATGATAACTTGATATGTTATAGTCGAAGATGTGTAATTGAAATCTCTCAAGTTGTTTCTCCTTCAATGACGCCTACTGAAGCCCGGCTTATAAGCACGCGTTGAACAACGTTAAACGTGCCACGACAGAAAATCAACCCCCCCACACCCGAGGTTTGTCCGTAGACTCCAAAGCGCCCTGCCCTCTGAGAATTTCACGATCGCAATGCTCCCTGCACCAACTCACTCATAAATTTCATCGTTTTCAAACTTGATGAGGTGACCTAGATGCTCACGGGAGCCCGATTGCTGTTCCGCAGCCGCGGCCTCGCCACCGCGACGCGGCGAACCTCAAAGCGGCTCGATGGCGCATTGAGCCTGGAAAATGTTCGTCCACCCATGACAAGGCTGGCCGCTCTGCACACATTACTTCCCCCACCACGATATCCGCTCCGGCCGAGTGCTTCAAACTTGGGGCTCTTTACCATGGAATACTGACTTTCCCAATTGTGCAGTTCCTTCAACGATCGCGAACCCTTGCCTTCTACAGAACGATTCTACGCGGGATCAAGCGGATACAAGACCCGGCTACCAAGGCCGAGTCCAAGAAGTACGCTCGCGACGAGTTCGAGCGCCATCGTAACGTCACCGACCTTGTACGATCCTCCTTTCTCCTTATGCCCTTTCCAATGACAGCATTCGACCTCTATTTCTCATGGGAACCCTGGTGATCCTTCAGCTAATACCCAGGTGGCAGTCCCATATCAGATACTTATTATCAACCGGCAAGACCGAGTGGGAGACAATGGAGCGTTATATAGACCACATGTAAAAAAAAATATCTGCAAGAAGAAACGAATCTTCATCATATTTGAGTTTGGGTTTGTAGATAATACAGTGAAGCAGGATGTAACCCGATCCCCCCTCAGGTTCTCCCATATACAGCGTCTAAAAGCGTCCGTTGGTCGAACATTCCTGCCGACATCTCGCACAGCAAAACAGGGCGGAAAGGTTTCCCAAACCTGTGCTCCTATTGATGCCCAGGTATATCCGTCTCGATGATGTGGATGGAAACTGGTCGTCCCGCGTAAAGTCGGGGGTCGTATCGTACAATTGCTCTCTATTCCGCAATATCCCCCTTCTCCTCTCTCGCCCCTGTGTTTTCGCTTGATCATAATCGTTCCCCTCTATCCCTGTCTTTGCTTGTGTCTCGGGTTCGACTTGCAGATGATGTAAAGGTAGCCGTTATGTCGCTTGCCGCCTTTCCTTCTTACGACCTGCCCCCCCCCCAAACAATCAGCCATTGAAACCCCAAACTCGTCGCCCGGCTGGGCCGAGAAAGTATCCTCCCTTACCTTGCAGTGCTCGCATCTCTTCTTCACGGCGCTGCGCACCTTCATCCCCCTCGTCTGCTGCGCCTGCTGGAGCAGACCACCCATGTTTCCGAACGCCGGCATCGAGAGCATGTTGATTGCCAGGCCACGGCCCAGAAAGGACCCAATGGCCCGGTGGGGGGCGAAGAGCGCCGCCCTCAGTGAGACGGATCGTAATAAGGACGCCATTTTTTGCCTTTTGTGAGTGTCTGAGCGGACCGCTGGCGTGATAGCTACTGCGTGGTGATGATCTTGGCACCGTAAACTTTTCCCGAAATCCCCCACACGTGACTGGCCTATCGGGTTCTTGGTGGGACGATGCTAACCTACACCACTCTCAACTGCATGCCTACATCAAGGTGGGCTTGTTGGTAAATCACTTTGCATGTCTCAATTATTCATCTTGCAGTAATTTTTTATTCGTATCTCGACTTTCAGCTCTATGAGCTATTACCACTGTATTCTTCATAGACTTGCCCGAACTAGAATGCCAAACTTTTGGATGGATGTAATCTCATGTAGGGTTCAAATCCACTGCTTTTCTGTAACCACACTTTGGTCTCTTGTCCTCATGAAGAGACTTCCCTTCAACCACCAAAAAACAAAAATCGAGTCTTGCAAACTTTGCTGCCAGTTCTGTCAACTTCACAACCTCCCAATCTTCAACGACAATGCCATGATACTACCCCCCGCGGTCCTCTGCCACTGTCAGCAATAACGGTCACTTATCCCCGTTCATAGTGTGCTTCAGTCCGGCTCATAGCCCGTCCATTTCTACCAGAATCCAGGTAGAGAAGTTGGTTTGAGCCCCTTAGGTGCCCCCGGGGCCCAACGCTTCTCCACATGGCCGACATGCGCGTCCATGACGGTCTTGAAATCATGACTCTGACGCTCATAGGTACGGAGTCTCGCTTTCTGCATCTCATCTACATGGTCTGGGGTATGGCTCGGGGCAAATGAAGTCAGGAACTTATCCCCCTTGCCTGGCTTCTTCTTGGCACACAACAGCCGAACGACTCGACAGAAGAGGTCAGTCTGCTCACACTCAAACATGAACTTGCGCCAGATGAGCTCCGAGTCTCCCGACAGGTCGCCCAGCTTCTCTAGAGACGGTAGGTTCTGGAGAGAGTCGAAATGCATCTTGTTTTGCTTGTGATGAAGTTGGGCTGTGTCCCCCGGCTTAGTTATTCTCTCGACCTTCAAGTTCAGGATTCCGCTCGCGCTCGCTTCAACCGGTGCGTATAGGTTAAAGTCGTAAGCTTCCCAAGCTGTGAAAAGCACCTTCAAGTTGTCCAACTTGACGAGGCGCAGGTGATGCGCTTGCTTATCAAACCATCTCTGAAGTGTACAGCCAGCACAGATTGTATGGTCGGGTCCTGCATTGCGTATGTCTACAGGATAAAACTCCCCTAGAGTTTCGTAGCCGCAGGAAGCGCAAGTGATCAGGTTTTCCCCCATTTCATTAAGGTACCATGACGGCCAGTCTTTGTCGAAGGCGTCATCAAGGTGCAGACGAATAGGCTTGAGCAGGTCAAACAAAGCCCTTCTCCTTTCTCTCTGCGCCCTCAGAGAGTCGCCCTGGATGTCGACATAACGGTACAACGCATCCAAAAAGCATGGAACCCCAAAGGGGAGATTTGGCACCTGGAACAGGAAGTCTCTGAAGGGGCTGTCTCTATCAAACAATAGCTTCAGGTTCATGGCTCGAGACTTTAAGAATGCCTTGAGAATAATATTGTAGAAACCGCGCTGGACTACCTCAAGTCTCAGAGGGTCCCATGTTAGGCCATAGCAGGCGGAATTGGCCTCGTTGAAGGGCATTCCCTTCTCATAATGCGGGCGAAAATCGAATGAGTCGATTAATGGAAGCCCATTTTCACGGCGGCTCAGGTTGATCTCGTGGATCAGATCCAAGATGCAAATGACGTCGCCGAAGTGAATAAGGGGGCAGTCGTAAACCCCAATCATAGTGACCTTGGGTAACCCGCGCAGGATGATCGCAAGCACCCGTCGATCAAGGAGAGGTGTCTTCTCGAAGTGGAGGACTTTGACACCTTGGCGGTGCTGGTAGAGCTTTCGAACTGTGTATGGGTTAGCACATTAATCGTAGCACAGCATATTTTACGTCAAGATAGTGACTCACTCATTGTTTTGAGGCAGTTTCCGAGCATTCTATGCTGCGGCTCAAACATTGCCCTCGGATCAGTCCAAACAAATTGCCTATGGCGCCAGATGTCTTTTGTAGTTGACAGCTCACTGATTACCGTGACAGTGCTGGGGCTCATACTGGCAATCAGAGCGTGATCAAGTTGGTTCTTCTCAACAAGATCATGGACTTTGTTGATCGTGGTGAAAATTTCTAGTTCTTCATCGATGACTTTGTCAAACCAACCCCGTACAGGGTTTGTCGGATTCAAACTTAAGGGATCAAGGTCTCGAGCTCTGAGGAAGTCGCCAACAGCGTACTCTGGTGTGACTACTAGGAACACACCATTATGGCCTTGAGAGTGGAAGTCTCGGGAGAGAAAGTTCCAGATATTCTTGGGTAGAAAAAGTTAGCCTTTAAATCCCAGTTGGAAAGGAAAATATTACTTACCGATGCATTGACGATGGCATCCCATGCTTTCAAGGATGCTAGTGCGAGGCTCTGAACTGTCTTGAGACCCGAGGCAAAGATTTGCTCGCCAAGTGTAGAACCGATACCGCCTGTGTAGAGCAAGCCCAACAAACCGGTCTGGTCTCCTCCCTTTACGGCAGTCTTGATGTAGCGCCGGCCCATGTGTGAACTGGGATTAAAGACGAGGGTTGCCTAGTAACCAAGTTAGTTTCGATACCACAAGGAAACCGAGCTTGAAAGGGGGAGCTGGATGATTATTTACCAGAGTTGACTCTCGAAACCGAAGTCCAAGTGCGCCTTGAATGCCATCAGCAACATCATAAAGGTCTGCTCGTGATGGCTTAGATGAACGGGCCACCGCCATCTTCTCCCAAGCCTTATAATACTCAGACGTGCTGAGCGAAGTGACTTCAGGACGAAAGCCAAACTTCTCCAGTCGCTGGGTAGACTGTACAATGCCATAGATCTCGATTTCTGACTATGTTAGCATCGATCCCATGCTCAGTGTGGGTTTCTTATGTGTGAGCTTACCGTCGCTTTGAGGTTTTCTGGCCGCAATGGGACCGGGTCCAAAGGAATTCTCATTTCTCTGTGGCCCATTGCCTCTCCGGCCCCATTGGTTCCGACCTCTTCTAGACATGTTTGAGGCACGAGGAGGCTGAAGATCCGCTTGATCCGCTTGGTGTGACGATGATGGTTGATCGTTGGGTGCCGGCAGCGGCGCGGGAGTCTTTATCTTCCAAGCCTGGTTTCGACCTTGACGAGGCAGGTTTGTTCTGTTCCCTTGGCTAGGGTTTTGGTGGTTCGCCTGGGGACGGTTTTGCTTGTTTCCTTGATGCGGATCTTGGGGATTCCGTCGGGGTGGGTTCGCCTGGGGTCTGGAAGGCTGATTCCCTTGGTTACTGGGTGGTACAACGTCAGGATTAGGCCCAGATGCCTTTTTCTGGTGTTGTTTTTTACGGTTCCTTCGAGGAGGTCGGCCAGATTCGGTGGTTATGTTCTCAGATCGCTGTTGCAGCGGATTTTCTTCTTGAGCTTGGGCTCCAGGTGCGGCAGCAGGCTGGTTTTCTGGCTGGCCGTTGGCCTTGGCCTTCTGACTCCTGTTTGGCCACTTCTTAGCCATCGTGAATCTTGGTAGAGGTTTTCGAACGAATTTTTCTAGGTGGAAAGTTCCGTGATTGTGACGTGGTGGGATTTCGAACGTGTGTGTGTGGAAGGAATATGCAGATAGGTGGTTGGGTGAAATATGCAGGTGTGTGATGGAAATAAATACTGGGAGATGGATGGATGGGAAAGATATTTCTATTGAATACGAGGTATCTGCACCTGGCAGCATTGTTCTGGGCGTTCAATGGTCAAGTGAGAGGCGATTGCACCTACCGCCGCTGAAATCTGAGTGGTCCAGCGTTTGTAGGTAAACGGCAGCCCTCACTCGGAGCTCAGATCAAGGTGAAACCGTAACAGACTGATTCACCTCAGCACAACACTTACCTATTGTTCTCTGGAAAAACCGGTTGTTGAATAACGACTCTGCGCACCACAATACAACACTTCCTTATTGTTACGTGAGTTTCCGATGTGGCTGGAGTGGCTTGCGTTTCTTCCTCGACTTTTATCACACTTGAGGAGAGAAAAGGGAAATGATTGGTGAAAGGCTGGCCCTTCACGCAGGCAGCTATATAAAACCTCGAATTGAACAATAAACACACGATGTCGCTGATTATTGAGGGTCGCAGTGCACCTTCCTCCTCCCAGGCTCGTGGCATCTCGCCTGAGATGGCCTTGCTATTGGTGTTGGACAACATTCTTGCAGAGCCTATCTCGCCGTCTGCTTGACTACATGCCCTAGGGCTTCGTAAAACTCTAGCTTAATTCAAGGAAACTTACGAGATAAGTTTCAGGAGCTGAGTGTCACAAGTTGGTGAAGAGTGCCCGAGTGGCCCAACAAAGGCGGCTACCCTAGGCATAGGCTTGAGTACATGCACCGTGGCCAAATGTTCGATTTTCAAGACAAAAGCATGGATATATAAAAATCTTGGTCAACTTAAGCTTATCTCATTATTCCCAAGCCCAAGACTCGGCCGCTAGTAAACTCATTCGTTGAGTCAACGTTCAACACTGGGGAAGTAGGTCACCCAGCAGCCTACGAAAATTACATCCTTAGCTTTCACTAGCCAACGTCAATGTCGTATCTTGTGTTCCCGAGGTCATAATGCTGTTGTGACAGTTGCCAGTGAACATTTTGCTTGTGAAGTGTCCGAAGTACGTGTATGCAACTGCATGCATAGTTGACATCGGTCCTTGATTGGGCTAGCTCAATATCCTTTTTGAGCAATGGATGAGACGAGCCGGACTGGCCTGGCTGCCGCGCAATGCGACACGATCGGGATTCGACGACATGGGCAAGGATCGTGACGGGGAGCGAGCTTCTGCCCACTTGATGAGTAACCCGGACGGCAACCAACGACTATCTTTCCGGAGTCTTGTCCCAAGACAGAAGTTGCGGTCAAGAAGTCGAGATAATTAGTCTAGGAGACGGCGAGGAGAGGGTGTGTCATGAGATCCTACAGGCTCAAGGGCAAATGGTGGAGGGGGGCCTGCGTTGGGTCTGTCATATCGGATGTTATAGGGAATGGAGGAAACATCCTGGTTTACTGTCCCCCCCTTCAGGGTATGGGGTCGTACTTCCGCGACGATCGTTAGTGTTTTTGTGCATGCGGCATCGGCCCAGAGGCACATTTGCAAAGAAAAACTCCATATTCAGAGGGATGGAGCTATGATCAGCGGAGAGCAAATGTCGGACAAAGGAGCGGTCGAGGTGATTTTGCTGGCTAATTGGGAGGACTAACACGCGCCCCCGCCAGGCAGAAGTCGAATGTACCATGTATTGTAGTATGCAGCTGGAGGTCAAGTGGACAATGCGATTGGATCGACGGCCTCTTGCCTTGCCTTGCCGCCTGCTGGTGCATTGCAGATAATGTATGTGCCATGGGCTGCTACGTGCAACATAACTACATACAAACCAACAAATCGGCAGATGGCGGGCCGGGCATGAGATGACTTGGTGGAGAAGGCAGCGGCAGGGAAACCAATATATGTTTCAGCGAGCGCCTGGTGGCTGAAAGCACAAAAAAAGTAAAGTAAATAACAATTCGATGATATTCATTAGGGGACGATGTGGCTGGGCCGACACCACCCTAAGATAGCGTCCAAAATACTCCTGTGGGCGCTTGTCGTGTCAAGAAATGAGGTTTCATTAGCTCAGAGCCCAGTCGCCACGGTCGTTTCTGGTGGAAATTTGCTGGATCTTATGACTGGCTAGCTGGATAGATAGGGTACGATTGTCTTGAACGGGCCAGGGCAAGGGTGGGATAGTTCCTCTACCCCCAGAAGGATTCGTACTTGGCTATGGCTAGGGGAGATTCGGGGTTGTATCTCGCAGGCAGGGCCGAGGCGGGAGCTGAGGAAGACTGGCCGTGACCATAACGTCCTGGTCGGTTCCATTAGGCGATTATGGTGTTTTCTTGCGCTATGGTGTCTGCTGATGAACGGCACGTCGGATGGGAGGAGCTGCCGTTACGAAGGCGAGCAAGGCCTGTTTCAGCACCATGAGACGACAACCGTTGAGGGGCAGGGATTCGATAATAAGGGTTGCTACGGGCCAAGCACAGGTGGGTGCAACTCGGTGGATCTCGATTGATTTGCTGTGGCCAGGGCCTTGCACCCCGTCGCGAGCTAGTGCGTATTCTCATGATAGTCGTCGCTCAGCTCTGGGCACTAACCCTCTCGTCTCATAGTGATGCCTCTATTTCTGTCACCGTGCCGAGAGAGAGGGAGGCCAGCGCAATACACGGAACGAGTGCCCTGGATGGCCCGTAGAAGCCACTGCTAACCCTTCACGAACTGGCCCCGGCTTCCAGTGTTCGATGTCTCAGCCGCGGGTGGGAGATGAGACACCCCATAGCTGCTGGGGCCAATCAGCGGTGGGTGACCAGGCCAATTCCGCTCTCCATGCACACGTAAATCTGCCATCCATCCCACAAGTGATGCAGGTGCAATGCGAGGAATGCAATACACAAGAGCTTTGCCAGCCGCTGGCCCAGCTGCACGACTAAGGCACAAGTCACATGGATGCTGAAGCACACCAGCTAGCGGGTGGCTGAGGGCTAGCACTCGTGGTATTCCGTCAGTTGTCGTCCAGGTGTGGAAGGGATGGTGTGCTGTCGAGTGCCAGAAGATGGTTCCCGTGACAATGTTCAGTGAGACCCACCTTGCGTCTACCCTACGCCAAGAGCTAGAGAAGGAGGAAAGACCTACCTCATACAAGATACAAGCTGCACAGCTTTGGTCAAGGTGACGGGGAACTTGTGTGCGGTGTGCTGCCGAGAACATGTCGTTTCTGTTGGGTTCGACTTCTGCCGGCTCGGCAGCGGGTAGCACATGAAAAAGAGCTGGGCCGCGATTCCACCCAGCATGTAGCTACCTACCTACCTACCAAAACTGCAACGCTGCTCACTGCGACGTTCTCAGCACTGATGGTTGGAGATAGGTGCTGTCTGTTAGTGCTGGTGGCGCCATCGCATCGTTGTCCCCACTCACATCGAGCCTCAACACCCCACTTATGAAGAACGGAGTGTAGCTCTCGGCTTTTGATTGGGGGCCCGTCATGGCATTTGATTATCAGCAACCTGTTTGGAAGCGGTCACATTTGGGCCTGGCTGGTGACCTCGTGCATCAGCGTGCAGCATGCACTGGGACCGTAGCATGACGTCTCACCTCTTCTGCTTTACGCCTTTGCGCTCTGACTAATGAAGGGCAAGGCGGAGTGTACCTACATGTTGCAGATAGTGCACGTGCGCGCTGGCCACCTGCTACGGTAACCCCAAAGTGTATGCCGGAATCCAATGGGGGTGGTCGCAGAGTGGCGTGAAGATGGAGGCAGAGGGCGGGATCAGGGCTAATCAGCGGCCTTCTGAAGGTTTTTTTTCCCCTTCTCACGTAGCACTGTCATAATAAAAATACCCACATGACGGGCCAGTGATACCACTGTGCATACATGGGATGATGTATGTGTATGGATGCCCTTTCGTGCGACTCGGATGTATGCCTGTAATCAAAGTCTACTGCACAAAGGGGGGGCATTGTACCCTCCATTGATGGCCAGTCCCGTCGGTCGTCGGCAGTTCTCTGGTGCTTATTAGGGAGAGGATTTCGATGCGACGATGGCCCCTCTGACGATGTACACCGAAGAAATTGCATCAAGACCGCCCATGATGGTCTCCGGGCTCCTCTTGGCTCTCCTTCCGTTCGGGGTGCTGTTGCCCATGGCAAAACCGCGTAGCGGCCCACTGGCGTGTCCCTTTCAGCGCCCAAGACCTGCTGGTTCCGCACGGCGCACTACCGCAGCGCTACCTAAGCTCTGATCATTAAGAGTGGAGTGGGGTGCATCGCGGCTGGCCAAAAAAAGAAGTGGACATGAGCTTCCGTATCACTGCCAAACTGTGGTGGTTAGACGAATCTAATAACGAGTAATTAGTATTTGCTAGCAGCTAGCTAGTAGACAAAATATCTCCTCTAGGGGGGCGAGACAAGATTGCTGGCCGTGAGTCAGTGCTCGCATCTCGGTGAGAATGAGATGAACAAATGGGAGACCCTGGGTTGTACATCTACTGTGCATACACGGTAAGGGGCCGGCAAGCAAGGTCGTAGTGGAATCACACTTGCCTGATGTACATGGCAGTATGGATGTACATCTAGCCAGCGCACCTTGCCTCTGCTTGTTATTATCACCGGCCACCTTGGGGCAGGGGAAAGCTGCTTGGATGAGGCTTGTGTGGGCAGGGACAAGGCCAGGCGCTGGAGATGTCAAACAACGCTTGCGACGCCGATCGCGAGGGGCACGCTGGGCGCTGGACACAAGTCAAGTCCTGCCCTTGGGCTCGTTGTTCATGCAGATAGCATCATCTTTCATGCCCGGGATTTGCTGCAAAGGGGCGGGTGGAGGCATCTTGGCCATGGGATGAGGAAGCGCTCATTGGGCCAAGGCAAATTACACCCGAGCAGTCGCATAATTTTGTCGTCCCTGCTGGTCTCATAAGGCGGTCCTTAGCGCCGGGGGCAGCAAATTTCAGTCCCCACTCGCTTAATGCAGCACGGGCCATGACTTCACTAACAACCTTGCATTACAGGTGGGGTCGGGTGCTGCAGCTTTTTTTCCTTCCCCCAAACAGTGGGTGGAGGAGCCTAATTTTTTTTCCTGGCCTTGACGCTGGAGGGCCCTTGTGGGTGCGGTTGGCTTGGCTCTGCAGTGCGCGCCTGGAGCTTCGACCACCCCAGTGGGGGCCTGATAGGTACGAAGGGCGCTACTGCAACCCACAGAGCTTCAAGCTACCGCCAGCTTTTTGCAACGTCCAGTCACACTCGCATCAGGCCTCTGGATGAGTCGAGCGGTGTTCCGTATGCTGTTACGTGCCTGCTGGTGGCTGTTGCTCGCTCTCCATGTACCCAGGTAGCCAAGTCCTGGCAGCAGATCAGCCGTCGTACTCCTCCACGTCGCATTCACACCTGATACGACCCATCAGGCACTGTAGAAACAGTACATACATACCTACGACGGCGTCCTGATGATCCCATGTGGAGAGTCTGTGCTCTCAATCCACAAGCAGTCAGAGCCCGAAGCAGGCCTGTGGAAACAATTTCATACAGAGCAATTATAATTTATTTAGCACCAAGTGATTGCCAGTGTGGCGCCAACTAACGGAGCTTCAGCACGTGTTAGCCACAAAGGCGATGGATGCACCGTACTTGGGTAGTATCAACGGCGTGCGACCACAACAACTGCTTCAGGTGAGTCCAGTGCGTTCGCCAGGTGGTGAGGGCTCCTCTCCCGGATCGGCGTGGTCGATAAAAGGGGAGTTAATTAATAAGGGGAGGAGGCAAAGCAGATCATTTGCTGGCAGAAAGTGCAGCGTTCAGGGACCAGGAGTTGCCGGCCGTCAACTAGGCAGGAAAAAGAAAGAGGATGGGCAGCATATTGTACGTACTATTGTCATCGCAGGTATATGCGCGGACCGTGCTCAGAGGGCTGCCGGCTGTCAGGTAGGATGAGGGGAGAGCAGAGCCTGACTGTGGCGGCCCTCGTATCCATCCGTCCATTTCCCAGCCGCCTGCCTCCTGCTGGGCGTGCAGGCAGCTCTACCTACCGTTCAATCTCAGTGCCTGCCTCGTGCCGCCGTCGGACATTGCGTAGACATCAGTGCCTGCTAGCCGCTGTATCTGGCCTGGATGTAGCAATATGCTTGGTTACTGGCGGCAGGGAAAAGTTGGCCAGGAGCAGGTACATCCAGGAGGCACTATTCGTTGCAGCCTTTCCCCGAACCGAACGTGCACAACTGATCACCCGCTGCCCTGCTCTGGCTCGCGTCGACCCTCCCTTTCCATTCTCTTGGCCACCCCTCCCCCCTTGTCCACCCAGTCAGATCACATTTGGCCAATCGATCAGTCAGGGTTCCATGGAAATACTAGACTGAACCTAATAGTGGACCACGCCGTTGTCTGCCCTGCTCGCGCCTCTGGCCGCCGAACAGCACCACAGGACGTGCTCTCTACACGCTCGCCCGCCCTCCCCGAGCGAGCAAGACCTGGGAGATAAATACGTGCCCCGACCGGCGAACCCCTTTGCTTCCTCTCCCTCTTCTCTCTCCTCCTTCCACCTAGAATCACCACCAATCCCCACAGCATTCCCAGGTCTCGACCTTTTCTGGATTACGATTTCTTTATTTCTTTTTCTTTTAATACCCCCTACTGCTTGTTGTGATACCCATCTCGAGATACCCAAACCCATTCCCTTTCACCATGGCCGAAGAACAGAAGATCGTCGAGGTCCCCAAGGACACCAAGGTCGAGGAGACCACCCCTGCTGTTGAGGCTCCCAAGGTCGACGCTGCTGCCGAGACCAAGGTCGAGGAGACCCCTGCTCCTGCCGTCGAGACCGCTGCTGCCACCACCGAGGAGAAGGCCACCGAGGAGGCCAAGCCCGCCGAGGAGACCAAGGCTGAGGAGAAGAAGGAGGAGGTCAAGCCCGTCGAGGAGGGTCACCTGGGACACAAGGCCCAGGGCCTGAGCTTCCCCAAGTATGTTCCCTGCAGTAGAGCAGAATTCTGACGGGAGAGAGACTAACAGACGACAACAGGAACCTCATTGCCAGCAAGGAGTTTTTCTTCTTCGGTGCCGAGGCTTTCGAGGCCAAGGCTCTTGCCGCCTACAAGCGATCCGAGAAGTCTGCCGAGACTGCTCACGCCAACATCGCATGGGCCACCGAGACCGCCAAGGGTCTCTTGTTCATTGGTGACAAGAAGGCCCCTACCGGCATCATCAACCTGGTATGTCCCCTTGATATTAGGGAGACGGTAGAATTACACTAACAAGAGAATAGTCTGACGCTTCCGAGCCCGAGACTGATGGCACCCATAAGTTCACCCTGACTTCCAAGGGCAACAAGCACAGCTTCAAGGCTGCTTCCGCCGCTGAGCGTGACAACTGGGTCTCCCAGCTGAAGCTCAAGATTGCTGAGGCAAAGGAGCTCGCTGCCACCGTCACCGAGTCTGAGACCTACAAGAAGACCCTCGAGAGCTTCAAGCCCGCTCCTGTCAAGAAGGAGGAAAAGCCTGTTGAGGCTGCCAAGACTGAAGAGGCCGCCAAGACCGAGGAGGCTAAGACTGAGGAGACTCCCGCCGTCGCCGCCGCTGTTGCCGAAGAGGCCAAGCCCGAGGAGACCAAGCCTGAGGAGAAAACCGAGAAGAAGGCCGAGTCTCCCAAGCCCGCCAATAAGAAGCGATCATCTTTCTTCGGCTTTGCTGGTTTCAACAGCAAGAAGGAGGAGGCCAAGGAAGAGAAGAAGGAGGAAAAGAAGGAAGAGGCTAAGGCCGCCGAGGAGGTTAAGCCCGAGGAGACCCCCGCTGTTGAGGAGACCAAGGCTGAGGAAGCCAAGGTTGACGAGGCCAAGACTGAGGAGACTCCTGCCGTTGTCGCCGCCGCTGCCGAAGAGGCCAAGCCCGAGGAGGCTAAGCCCGTCGAGAGCCCCAAGGACAAGGCTTCCAAGCGCAACAGTTTCTTCGGCAATGTCTTTGCCAAGAAGGACAAGAAGGCCGCTGAGCCCAAGGCTGATGAGGCCGAGGTCACCAAAGAGACTGCTGCGACCACCGAGTCTGCTCCCGTTATTCCTCCTGTGGAGTCCACCACCCCTCTTGCTGTCGAAGTGAGCTCCCCCGCCACTGTCCCTACTGAGACAACTGAGACTGCCGCTGCCGTCGCTTCGCCCACCAACGGCGAGCCCCGCAAGGACGCCAAGGAGAAGCGCAAGTCTTCCATCCCCTTCCTCGGCAAGCGCGAGAAGTCCCCCTCTGGTGAGGGTGAGGAGCGATCCAAGAGCCCCTTCTCCAAGCTCCGCGCCACCATCAAGGGCAAGACCTCCCACAAGTCTGAGGAGAAGCCTGCTGAGGAGGCTGTGAAGGAGGAGCCCGCCGCTGAGGAGGCTAAGACTGAGGAGGCCAAGCCCGAGGAGACCAAGGCTGAAGAGACCAAGACTGAGGAGGTCAAGGAGGAGGCGAAGCCTGCCGAGACCAAGCCCGAGACTGCTGCCGCAGCCGCTCCTGCTCCTGTCCCTGCCGCCGCTTAGAGAGTGTTTGTTGGGCGCTGAACCTTGGTCCTACTTCGAGGCTCCAGTCGCGCATTTTATGATCCCAAAAAAAGAGAAAACATACACAGAAAAAAAACTCATACCTAACTCACGGAAAGGGTTGGAATGGAAGGAAGTTGTCTGCATTTCTTCACATGATACCAAGATACCCTGTCAAGACTGCTTTCACTGATACCAATTTTCGTTTATTGTCTTTTGCAATGCATATACGGGTGGCCCCCGGCGGTCATTCTGGTAAGCCAAGGGTCGTACCGGATCACTCTCTGGTCCGTCGACGTCTCTTGGCTTGCTGTTCGTCTTTCTGCTCCTTTTTGGTTTTTTTTTTTTTGTTCTTTCCGTCGTTTCTCTTGTGCGTTGCATCCGTTCCGTCGATCTGATACCCGGGGAGGAAAAGGAATACTCGTAATAACTAATAATATACAATCGTTTGTGTTTCTCAACCTATCCTGCCTATAATTTGCATGTCGTGACTTGATGTCTTTTTGTATTCAGTGTCATTTATACTGAGCAATGCTGCCTTAACTCTACGTAGAGGATTAATGTCGTTGGAGGGGAGGGTAGGTATCTAGTCCCAAGAATGAGTGTGGTTACGGTATGATTTGGTATCTGACGCTGAACAGCTTTTCTTTCAAGTGGGTTCTCCTGTTGAAAATTTTTTAGGTTCGTTTTGCTCTATAGAGTTTATCTTGCTACCGAAGTCTCTGTTTATTCTAACCCCTCCTTCTGTTCTTCAAATGTGACGAGTTTTAAATCCCGTAAAACATGTTGCCGGCTGATGATGCTGTCGACAGTAAATTACATTAACAAATCAGGGGGTTGACATCCATGGAACATCAATCTCCTACTCTTCATATGATAGTTCCGTGTCTGGTATGTCTCATGCCTCGTATATCTCGTCCAGGTATCGATCAATCCAAGTTAACTCTGCCTGTCCTCTGTTCTCGCAAAAAGGTCCTCCAGCCGTCTGCGTACGCCGATGTATAAGAAAATAATAAATATGACCCTTATGAAATAAATCTACCTTACTCCAATGTAGGTAATATGTTGATATTGCAAAGCAAGAGCCCCTCCTCGTAAAGAAACCGATAGGCAGGTCTCGCGAGCCGGCTCGTAAGTCAAGAGCAAGCCTCTTCTCCTCTGAACGGAGGGCGGGGAATCAGAAAGCCAAAACCATTTAATAATCCGCGCGTATCCCCGCATTCTTTTGATGCCCAACAAACGCCATGAGTGATGAATATATGAATGATAACAAGATCAATGCTAAAACAACGGTCTTCCCGATTTAGAAGAGGTCGGAGCTGAAATGGAATCGTCCACTCCCAGAGAATGGGAGCGTGAATGTATCAAACTGTCGCGATGACTTAACGTAATACGAAATCGTTTCGTTGAAGGTGGCGACGATTTACAATGCGTTATCGATCAGTTGGTGATTGAAAGGCTTTTGTATTTGCCAACAAGTTCTTCGATTTTCGGCATCAATTCTGGAATTCGAAACGGCTTCGAGATGACGTCGTCCTATATAACAGTTTAGCAATGAACTCTAATGTACAGTGGTGAAGGAAGTGGACGGGATTCAACTTACAATTCCTGCGGCCTTGGCGCTCTGTATTTGCTCAGGCCTGGCATATGCAGTGACGGCAATGATGGGGATATGCTGAACTATTGTACCTTCCTTTTCCAACTCTCTGATCTTGCGGGCGCATGTCATGCCATCCATCACGGGCATTTCCAAGTCCATTAGAATGACCGAGATATCAAGACCCTCCGATTCCTGCCCGGCCCAAAATCTCGAACGCTGTAGAGTTTGGAGAGCTTCTTTGCCATGATTCGCCACGAAGGTATTGTTGCCACAGTTCCGTAGTTGTCTCTGCAATACCTTTTGGTTCACAATGTTATCTTCCACGATCAAAACATCGTAGTAGGGATTGCCCTTCGTATCGGAGTTGGTTCGAGATGCGGGACTGCTGCTGATAGGCCCGGTTGCGGTTGCTGTTACGGTTGCGGCTGGCGACTGTATCTTCCGTGCTATCTTGAAAGGCGAAATGCGTTCGTAATCGGCAGGGGGGTTGAGGCAGATGCGGCTTTGGATGTAAAAAGTAAATTTGCTGCCCATTCCAGGATCCGAGGACACACTGATCTGTCCTCCTTGCATTTCGGTCAGGATCCTTGAGATGAACAAGCCTAGCCCGGAACCGCCATATTGCACATGCGTTCGGGGAGTGGCTTGTTGAAACCGCTGGAACAACAACTTAAGTTCCTCATGCCCCAATCCCGGGCCGGTATCCTCCACTGTGCAGTGAATATTTACTCGCTCACCACTTCCCCAATCTTCCTCATTGTCTATATCCATAGCTGGTCGCCCGTTGGGGCTTCTCTCAAAGAAACGAATACCCTCTTGCTTCGTGACTTGTTCAACGTCCTTCGAAGCTGCAACGCTAACAACAATGCTCCGTCGTTCTCGTCCCTGAGTGAATTTGATCGCATTCGTCATCAAATTGATCAAGACTTGGCTGAGTCGAGAAGGGTCTAGCTTAACCCATTTAATGCCGTACTCCTCGAAGCTCTTGTCGACCCGAAACTCGAATTCAATGTCATGTGCGACAATCTCCGACTCGAACATCTTTAGCGCTCTTTGGACGACCTTGATGGGTTGCTCGTCAATAGGCGTGACGTTGAGGAGGTTCGAATCGAGTTTTGAGAGTGTGAGGATGTCATCCACGATTCGTTTCTGATGGCTTGCACAGAGGTTGATTGTGTTGGCGGCATCCAAGCAGTTCTCCAACAGCGTTTCTATTTCTCCTCGAACATCGTGTGAAGCGAATGCAGTAATGTTGTTCGTGATTTGGTCAGCACACTGTAAAATGGCGGAAAGGGGGTTTCGCATCTCGTGGCTTGTAATGTCGATGAAGTTTTCTTGTTGACGTTTCAGCTCGACAGCTTCCTCTCGCCGTTCGCTCTGGACCTTCTCAGCCCATTTCTGAGATGAAATGTCTGTGATGCAACCGAAAATGAAGTTGATTTTTCCATCTGGGGTCTTGTCTGGGTAGGCACTCATGAGGACCCAAGTGTCAATGGTGGAATCGCCGTTTTGCTGGGTGCACTTGAAACGAAATTCAGCTGATATGGTCACCTTCTCCTCGAGTAACTTATGCCAGGCCCGCTCAAGGGCAGGCCTGTCCTCCGTCCGAACGCTGTCCATCCACGCGCCTTCACCCCTCATGTGAGGCAACACCCGAGAGATTTGCCACCACATTTCGTTGTAGTAGTTGATCACGCCATTGGAATCAGCAATGAACATACCGACGGGGGAGAACTCGGCCATGCGGGTAAATCTGTATTCGATATCGACGGCTTCTTGGGACTTGAGTTGTAGTTGCATTAAGAGCTCTTGACGGTCCAAAGCGGCTAGTCTCGCCGCTCGCTGACCACGCTTGATTTCCTCTTCGAAAAGGACAACAGACGCCATGGATGTGGCTAGCTGACGTGCAAGAAGATTGATGAAAAGCTTGTAATCATCATCGTAGGGCCTTCGGGGGTTCACACCCATGACGATAAAGCCAACAACCGAATCTCCGACGGTGGTAGGGAGCACTGGGAAAACAATGATGGTTCTACATGGGTCGCCGAATCCTTTCCAATCTAGGCCCTCAATCAAGTCGGATGGCAGAGTTCCATCTTCGGTAGATAAGACCACTGCACCTCCACCGGACGCCATACACTGACGCATATAAGGGGCAAATCCTTCGTCCGAGGAACGCAGGTCAAGGGACTCAACGGCGATGGGATGGTCTGCGGTGACACCGATAGACCCCTCGAGACACAACTGTGTGCTGTGGAGGCTGGCTGAGTGCAAGGAGGAGACTTCGCTCTCGGCATCGTCTTTGAGGGAGTACAATAGGGCAAATGGGACGTCGTATTCGTTGTATTCGAGTCCCTTTTGGACTTGTGGCCAGAAGCCTTTCATGCTTGTGGCCAGAGACGTTCGTTCTCCTACTTCGCGAAGAGTGAGCATTCGTCTGTCAGTAACTTTCCTCCTTGTGTTCTCGAAAGCTGGATTGTACAGTCCCACAACCTCGCCATCTGCACCCACCAGGGGCACAACGGACCATGAGAAAAAAGTCTCTTCCAAGAATCCATGTCGGTTGATGAAGAGATGATTGTCGTTTTTCATGGTTGCTTGCCCGGATTCCCAGGCAGCCTGGAAAACTGGAGCTATGTCATCCCAAATTTCGGCCCAAGCCTCTGTGTATTTCGCTCCCATAAGGTTGGGGTGTTTTTGGCCTGCCAAGTCTATGTAGGCAGCATTGTATATGGAAATAAAATCGGGCCCCCAGTAGAGAGCCGCCGGGTGCGGGCTGCCCATGACAAGATTAGACATGGCTCTCAACTCATGTGGCCAATCTTCAGTGGGCCCCAAGGACGTTGAAGACCAATCCGTTGTCCTAGCCAACCGAATATGTTCAGGAAGGTCATCCATCAGTGGAATCCTTGTCCAATCGAAGCAAGGTCTTGCAATCTGCGCCTGCAGTACCTCGTTGGTAAAATCGTCGGGATGGTGCCGAGATTCTGTATCATGAAGTGGATCTTCGGGGATGGTTTCGACAATTGATTCGGCCTGTGAAGATTTACGCCGAGCATCGCCAAAATAGTCTGAAGGGTCCACAGGATCAACTTCTGGGGTAAGTGGGATGTCCGGGGTAGGATCTTCGCCTTGCTGATCAATCGCTGCAGGGGCATCGGCGAGAGATGCTGGGGATTCTGCTTGTATGGGTTCGAGGGGTGTGTTACCGCTAACAAATCGAAACCGCCGACGGAGTGTTGAGCATGTCCAGGTTATTCCTCCATATATGTGCGGTGGAGGGGGAACGTCTTGTCCATCCCGTCCCTTGGTCGAACTGATCGCCCATGCCTTGAAATTCCCATACTCGGCTGCTCTGGGTACGTCTTCCTGGTCCACAGTGAGAAGTCGTAAGACGTGGTGCGAAGTTCTTAATGCTCGGTTGTAGAATAAGATGTGTAGACCAGCGCGACTTGCATTGGCAGGATTTCCCATGTCAACAAGAAAAGTCGGCCGAACATCTTGATCTAAAAGATCAATGAGGTCTGCGCTGCTCAGCCCTTGCAAACCTGGCGAGATGGAGCGTGCATCAGGTGTCAATGCAGGAGCGGTAGTGTCCATGGAGGAACCCCAGCTCCCTGGCGTACTACCAGATCTGGCCGGACTGGGGGAGCTGACATTAGCACGGGGTAACTTCAATGTCGTTACGGAGCCAGACGGCTCATCTCGAATGCGAGCCAGTATGGACGGTGCGTGATCTGAGGTAGGGAAATTCGGCGGTCGTGTGATATTCCGAGCTGAGGAGGAATGTGAAAAGAAAAGAGGTGATGCCGGACCCTCTGGTTGCGAAGGCCCTGTCGAGGATATGCTCAGAGTGGACCTGGGCATGTCACTCATCCTCGGAGGAGATGCTCCGGTTCGAGGCTTCTTCACGGGTGACGGATCCATGGTGCTGTCAGTTAAGGCTGGCCTGGATGAAGTTCGTTTCACACTGTTATGGAGTCCACTGATTACTTTGGGCTGATGAGAGGTATTCAGTCCTGGGTATTTAGAACTTCCGGGCTCAACGATAGCTTGTTGCGACAGTCTTGACGACGAGGGCTCAGCATGGTCTACTACCGAAGTTAGACCAGTTGTGAGCGTGTGGCCACTGGTATGGCCGCGGCCAGGGCTAGAGTTCTCAGAAAGCCATCCCCTTGACAGGTTTCCTAGTGTGTTAGTAGCTTGATGTCGGGTTTCCGCATGAGTGCTGGGAACCGAGTCACCTTGGCTCGCTGTCGGAATGCTCGAGTCTCGTTGAAGAGAACTCGGGGGTAGGTCTTCGGTGTTGTTAAAGGGAGACTTTGAACCTGGCCGCGGGACAGAGTCGTCGCTTCGTTGCTGCATTTACAAGGCGCCAAAAACGCGGGGTGGCCGGAGCTTATAGATAAACGGGGCTTTAATCCGATGGGTCGCGTAGCTAAGTAGGTGCCTCTCAAGCAGGTCAAGTCGAGGGGACAGGCAGGCCCCCGGGTTGTGCATTCAAATACGCTGCGTTGGGTAGCAGAGAGGAGCGACTTTGTCAGTGTTCCGACCAATACTAGCCTGACTAGGGTCAGGCTGAGAGAACAAGAAGGTCGGAACAGAGGGAGAGAGGGTAGAGTGGATGAGTGTGTGGAAGTAAGTACTGGTGAGAGCAGCGAGCGATGTGTGAGACAGGGTTTAGACGACGTGGGATCGCCGTTCCCAAGCAACAGCTACCGTCTCTTCTTGGCTTTCCACGGAAGTGAGCGAGTGAGCCTAGGAGCTTGTCGAGGCGCTAGCAAGCAGGAAAATGAAGAGTAGACCGGCGAGGATAGCAGAGATAGCTGAGCGGAGTTCGTCCCTGCTCGAGCGAAGAACGTGTCGAGGGATCGAGGAACTCGCGTGCTGCGATGGACAGAAGCTCCAGCCGGGAGAAGAGGAGAGGATGGGGAGCGTCTATCTGGGGGGAGAAACCATCGGGACCACCCACAGGCCAGGGAAGCCTCAACACCGTTGATGGGAATCCTATACGCGTACCTTGGCCGGTGAGGCGGAAGTAGGTAGGTATCAGGTGTCTGAATGCCAGAGCAAGGGGGGGTGGGGGGAGAGAAGCTGCAGCTTGCCGCGACTGGATGCGATGCGCGAGCAGAGGCAGTGATGCGAGAGATAGCGAGAGTAATATCCAGTCCGAGGACGGCTCGAGGTGCGTGGGCTATAGGTGCTGGAAGTACTGCCGTGTACCTAATTGCCCTGGCGTTGGTGGTGGGTTGTTTGCTATGTTGCTGTCTATTAATGCAGGCGGCAAGTGGCGGGCAACAAAGCAAAGCTGCTGCTGCAAGAACGGCACGGAATAATAGTGGGTAGGAGGCACTGGAGGCAGCAAGGTTGGGGGGCAGTAGAAAGGAGGGGAGGGCTCTTCCAGGCCTGGGTGAATGCAATATCGTTGGACGCACGTCGATGGGATAGGCACAGCCGGATGCAAGGCACTTCAATGTAATGCAATGTGTGCTGGTGTGGGATAGGATAGGATAGGATGGGGGGAGAGGAGAGAAATCAATCCACGGAATTCACCACGAAAGGAAAAGGAAGCACGCCTAGGGAGACACACGTCTTGGTTCAGTACTGGGGCTGGCCGGAATTGCCATGGACTCAGTCTCGAGTAATCGAATGGATAATAGAACCAAGGCTGGCTCGGCTGTCAGGAATAGTGTGGGCATGCGGGATACTGGGAGCGAGCAAGCCTGGGAGGGATCGCCGTTGAAACATGCCCGGTTGGCGCTAGCAGGTGCGTCGTCAAAGGAAGGGAGGCAGTGGCAGCACTCAAAGCTAGACGGGACGGGCGGGCACGATCGATGGATGGGCTCTGAGGCGAAACGGGTCGAGACTCTGTGTCGTGAAAATTGGCCCAGCAGGGGTGGGGAAGATGTGTGTAGCTTGTGGTCCCTGGACCCAGGCCTAACTTTAGCAGCAACGCCTGAGCGAGGACCCTGGTCGTAGAGCGCGAGAGCGCGAGAAGCCTCCAGGTTGCTGGCTGCCAGTGCTGCTGGCGCCGTTGTCTCTGATGCCCAAAGAAGCTCAGAGACGCGCCGTTGCCTGCCCTGGTGCCCTCCAATTCACCCATCTCGGCTACCTGACATGTGCCTTTTCCTGTGCTCTGGGGATATGCAGCCATGTATCCACCCTGCCAGTCTCCCGAGACCAAATGGAATGGGGTCCGTATGAGGAGCATCTGCCCACGGTACCGGAGGTAATGGCAGCCACTATTGCCGTGCTGAGCCCGCTGGGCTATGCTGCAACCTTGCCGGAGCGCGCACATACTATCAGCTGGTGGCTTGCGCTGGCATTGGGCTTCCTTCGCCCCAAATCGCAATTATTATTACATATTGCTCTCAATCCGTCTTTAATCAGGTCGTTGCTCGGGTGGAGTACGAGAATCGGAACAACGGGCTTGTCTGCGTGCTACGTAACGTACATCCAACCTCCACTATTCGCTGGTGCCTCCTGCTATTAGGTACTTGATTGCGCCTTTGAGGTCATACCGGCCGCACTCTAAACTACACGCAGCCTAGATCCAGCAAAAGTGCCTGTCACTTGCTCCAGGGTCCAGTCGAGATGAGTAGTGTCGAGTTGGCAGTTGCCTAGCCTCACCACGTCTGTTGTCCATGTACTAGTGGCAGCCAGATAGGAGACGAGGCCAGCCATGTAGGTAGGTACTCGCTCTCACCCATCCGACAAGCCGACGTGGAGGAGCAATTATGCGACAGCTATCAGGGTTTCAGCGGTTAAACTCTTGCATGAGCAGGGCCCGCTCCGGTGTGATAGAGCGAGCGCATGAGCAGACTGCCATGCTCACGCCCAAAGGTGCAATTGCCTCGACGGCCGTGACGCCTCACAGCAGAGGTATTGGATTGTATTGGGCCGTCTTCTGCAGAAAGATAATCCAAGCACCAGCTGCTGCTTGGCACCGAGGGTCCACACAAGTGTTGTGCCCATCACCGCCAGTTCCGGCAAAGATTGTCTTATCGACCGGTCTGGACCGCTACCGGAAATTTCCCCCAGATGCAAGCTTTTGGTCGTTTTTGCTTGGCAGAGCCGTTCTAGTCCTCGACCGATGGATGTTTACTTTTCCTCGTGTGGGTGCCCTTGGCTGCAGTCAGTACCTGTAGTAATACTTTGCGCTTAGTGCCGTATTCAGTCGCCGGCGCTCACTAAACCCGCTAACTTTCGATTTCCCTCTTTACCTGTTGGGCTCGTTGTGGTGCTTCGTCTAACGGAAACGGATCTGACCCAGTTCTTACGTGTCGGCTTTGCGGCGTGTCTACTGATATCCCGGGTGTTTAGCATTTAGGTTTGGAGTTATTCATGCACGTCTTTTCGAAACGTTTCCGATCATGGAGCGGCATGTTTCTGGCTGCAAACCATCGGCTTCGGCCAGCATGCCTAGATTGAAAGTCCTACAGGCTAATGGCGCTCTCCACTCTTCCTAGACTCCTACACATCTTATATAGAATGTACTTATGTATACGGCTGTAGATATCACATTTACCCCGTCTTGGCTGAGGAACTTGGGTGGAATCTGAACGGGCTACCGGTAGTTGCCAAGCTCCATTCAGACATGACCGTTTCTGACGCCATGGGTCTTTCATTTCTTGCATTGCTCTTGCTTTGACACCACAAGACACACCACATCGCTCGGCATCATAATGTGGCTTCGTGATCTACATTCCCGAGACGAGTCAAGGCCAGGTGATCAGAGTGTGTACTTTATTCCAGATGCTGCCACCAGTCAACAAACCCATTTTCCATCCTCCAGTTGGCATTAGTGGTAGGGTCCGTTCTGCCGACCAACCGTCTCTCCTCCTAATACATTTTGGTAGAAGCCGGCACGGAATCCCCGCGGAGGTGTGATGGAGCGTCACGGCTCAGGGACACGATGGGTGGCTATTGATTCCGCTATGAACCTAGCGACGGGACCAGCTGCATGCCTATCTTGACGTAACTTGCCGGGCCGTTTTACTACAGACTACACAGAAAAGCGACTGACATAAAACAAGGGACATGTAGACAGTTCAGTATTGAATTTCAACACCATATCAGAATGATTAACCCAGTAATAAATACCATATCAAGCTAGATATTATAGAATCATTTATTATTCTCTTATTATTGTGTCTAGCTAAAAATGAGGTCCCTGCCTTTACGCGAAAAGAGCCTTGGTGTGCCATGTTTTATGTCACCCGCTTGCCAGGAATGAGCGAGCAGATAGCCGCACATTAGTAGAACGAACTCTATCGACGCCCAACGGGTGGTAGGATCGAGACAGTCTGGTAAGCATCGGATAATCAATCTACCATGACGCCTGCCTCCTCTCACCTTCTCTCTCGGCCGCTGCGGGGCCGGTAGAGATGTTCAATGGTTAGGAGAGTCGGCCAACGGCACTGAAGCCCCGCAAGCCATCGCCTCACCTCACTCATGGCTCCGTCCCACGGTCCGCCGCACACCGATCACATCCAGCAAGCGCCCTTCTCACCTTCTGGCTGGTGATATCCAGCAAGATGATGCCACTTCTGCCAGTTTTTACCTGACCAGGAGGCACGGTGCCGGGTTCCCAGCCGCCAATGCTGTGCAACACATCACCTCGGCGCCAGATGCTGACTCTAATTGGCCCAATGCAACATAACCCTCTCCACAGTCCAGCAGGCCAATGGCGGCGCAGAAGCACATCACCAAATGGTCGTGAGCGTCGCACCGGCGGCTATGAACTGCCTCCCATTGGCCCCATGGAGGTGATCACTCCCGTCCGCCCCCTGCCACTCGCCCAATCTTTGGCGGCGATGCTCACCACAGGATGGCCCTTAAACACGGCCAGTTCCCCCTCCTCCAGGGCCGCCAAGATGGCTGGCTGGACCTGCGCATGATTGACCTCTTTTTCCCACCCCCCAAAGTCAAAGCATCTCATCCAGAAGCCGTCGCCCTTCATCTTGTAACCTGCTCGTGGCCGGGACATACAGAACTGGGCGAGCGAGCAACAAGCCGACTAAGAGGCCCGGCATCATCTGCACCTCGGATGTGAAACAGCTCAGGGCTCGCTGAAGCGACCGCTCTAGCTTCCGGATACAATCCAACCCCCACACTCGCCTTGACGGCTGTGTCTATATATCGTTCAGTGAACACCCGACCTGCTGCCCAGCATGGTTACCCTCAAGGAGAAGTTCGCCTATCCCGGCCCTTACCGTCCCATCTACAGGAAATGGGTCAAGACAGCTCGCAAAGCTATCTGGTGGCTGATGCTCTGGGAGCTCTTCGGCACTGTCGCAGGCCTCGTCATTTTCGGCCTCTCGCAACCGAATCTGTATCGCACCGACATGTGGAGGATCGGCTGG